AGAAGCTTTGTGGCTAAAGCAACTGAATGAGTTTTTTTTTCCACAAATGAGGAATGAAGCCAAGATCATCTACAGTGATAACCAGAGCAGTATAAAACTTGCAGGTACTGATGGTTATCATTCTAGAACAAAACACATTGACGTGAGACACCACTTTGTTCGCGACAACGTACAGAGAGGCGTTATTGAAGTCCGCTACATTCAGACTGATTTGATGGTAGCAGACGTGCTTACTAAGGCTGGCCGAAGCTGGCCTTCTGTACTAAGATGATAGGGATATGTTTAAGGGAGGATGTTGGAGCGTAAACATACTCCTTGTTCGAAACACGTTGACTTTAGAGTCACGCGTAAAAAATAATTCTCTCATAACTGTCTCCTCTATCAAACTGTACTTTCTGTTTTCTTAATATTTCTAGTTCTATATTATATTCGCGTTTACATTGCTAGTTCGTATTATTTCCCACAAATACAAAAAAAAACAATAATCATCAATGTCTACCCTTTTGTACGTCCCACTGCTGGGCACGGGTCTCCTTTCAGACGAGGGTTTAGGCTATAGCCTAACCTATACTATATAAATGGCTATACCCAGCGTGGCGGAGTATACTCCGATGGCACACGATGTCGTCATCCCACCTTTTATCACCCTTTTCTCTGGTTCCTGACTGCCTACTTTAAAATTTTGAATCGTTCTTTTATTCCTTTTTTTCGTCATTCTTACTTTTCCAATTTCCGTTGCCACTCTCTACTAAATTTCCGAAGTTCACATGAAATTCTGACCAGTTATGCCATTGAAAATCATGTAAAACGTAACTGCTTGTAAAGCTTAATATTTGTACAAATCGCACATGGCAACTGACGTAGTATAATCTCAAAATTGCTGTTTTTTTAATATTATACTTTGATTATATTAATATTACCTATTTAACTACAAAGCAACAGTATTGTCCTGTCACTATGAAATTAAAATATATGCGAATGACATACAAATATAGCAAAATTTTGGAGAAAAATTATTATAATGCAATTTTGAGATAAAATATAATTTAACGCAATTTTTGAGATAATACTATGTTAGTTGCCAAGTGCGACATACAGGCCCTTTTGGAGTAAGTTCCTTTTTTTAACATGTCTAACCTGAATGTCATTTAAGTAGGGAGTGTTTTTGTATTATTATATGTACCTGTGTTATACCGTTATTTTGTTTTGTTACAGCCTTACCTTTACCTTTATCTTTCTTCCTTTTCCTGTTCATTACCTATTCCTATTTTACAATAAATTGTGTGGACCGATCTATCATTATATATACTCAAAACCCTCGGCCATACAGGAAAGGAGTTAGTATAGGGAGGTTCCTTTCGTGCACCATAGCTACTGTTTCGCTATCTATTATGTACACACGCCTGCACATCAAGCTACACATTGATGTACATATCTTGTTCCGTTGCACTGGAGGCGATTTTCGAACAAAAATGTGTAGTCTGATGTGCCGTTGGCCGTACATTGACATAAAGCTCATTACGCTATGTACAATTTTGTCACTAAAATTCCCTTCCGTTCCGCGGCATTCTAAATCATAATATTAAAACAACTCTGTGAAAAACTACTAGAGCTTTTGTTTTATTTTATTTTATTTTATTGGTACAGTTACAGACATCAGATACAGCATAATATAAAAATATTCTAGAATAGCACTGTAACACTGATACCCAATTACAACTATACACAGCATTCGGTAAACAAAAAAGATAATGTTACGAAGAGCGGAAATATACTTACATACATATTATATTTAACTAATAAAATATTAAACTATGTCTAACGGATTTTACAATAAAGACAAATAGATAGAATAATAAGATAACAAAAAAAACTAAAACAAAAATTAATGAAAACTAATAGTTATAGTCACATATGAGTAAGTAATTTTGAGTTGAAAGTTACAATATGACAACTAAATATATCGTGTTCAGCACATATTTCATTATAGCAACGACACATTCTTATAATAGGATTATTTTTTGCAACATTATTAGTAGTGAGTGGCAGTGCAAAAAGCTGTGGTATACGCATATATTTACAAGGAACTTTAATATTAATTTGTTCAAGGAGGTACCTAAGGGTCAAAAAAACCACCTACTATTTTGTGGAGACAACATAGGTCGGACAACCACATCCTATTTTCCAGGCTTAGTAGGCCAAACTTTTGCAGTCTGTCATTGTATTCTGGCAATCGACGCCTCGAACCACACCTGCTACTTAGGACTCTCAGAAAACGACATTGAATTGCCTCAATACGATCCGTGTTAGGTTACTACCTGCGCGTTCCCATTATGCCATTACGTTTTATTAATCTTTTGACGACAGTCGCAGCTAGCGTGTTCGTATATCACGACTATCTGCCGTGACTGTGTCGTGAACGTTTATTTTATCGTTGAACGACTGTTGTATCTAGCTGTTCCCACTAGATCGTGACGACAATTTATCGGTTCACGGCAGTCGCCTTGTCGTTTGCACGACAGATTCGTTTGAAGGTGCGAACATCTGTCGTCACATTTTTATCTTGATGATTTATTTATCGTCGGACGATTGTCGTTCTAGCTCTTTCCATTGTCACGACAGTCTGTCGTCGTAAAGTAAAAAAAAGTCGTGAACGACAGTTAATCCTGTTCTTCTATGTGTGAACAACTTCATTTAAATGTACACACTAGTTTTATAAATAAAAAAATAATACCATCAGAAAAGGCTAAAAATTACAAAAAAACTTAAATATTATCAAAGCACTGAATTAAAAAAGCATAAATATAATATAATTATCTGCACAATCTTTTTAAAGTATCTTTACAATGCGCTATAGATAATAAATGTTGTAAATTAATAGATAATTTATCTTTTTTTTTTACAAGTCGCCCATTTTTTGGTAAGTGACAGTGCTTTAAATCTCAAATATCTGAGGGGCACTGCCACTGCGCCCGTCTCGCAGAGACATAAGTAGACAAGTCACATTACCTACTGCTTGGCGGCTGAAATAGGTTGGTAATGGCCTCTATTCCCACTAGTTCAGTTATCCAGTTCAATTGACTGAACTAATGAATTTTATTTTCTCGTTTGTTCAGTTGAAAATAAAACAGCAATTTTGAAGGATGCATTTTTTTTGTTAAGTTTTTTTTTGTTGTTGTTTCACCCAGATGTCACCCATTTCTATCGGCCGGATTGACTCGGAATGCGGCATACCTATGTTATGTTCGGCGACAATGTTATGGTACCATCGAGCTGGTCTGATAATGGAGACAGTTCAGTGAACTGAACAAATGGGAAAAACAGTCTCGCTAGTTCAGGCAACTGAACAAATGAGAAAAAAATCTCATTAGTTCAATTGACTGAACTGGACAACTGAACTAGTAGGAATATATCGAATACGCCAATTTATATTTGCGTATTTGATATATTTGGCAAGCAATCACCATGTGTGACAAAGTATTTGATTTGTTTGCCTATTCGACAAAGTCAAAGGCAAAGAATCGTTCGTTAAACTACTACTCGTTCACTTTCATTATGGTACATAGTTTTCTATGTCGTTCACAAAGCTGACTTCCCTGAGAAGAAAGAGCAAGAAACTCTAGGGATTGCTCTATGGAATACAGTTTGAATCAAATTTGTGTGGAATCTAGAGCCATGTCGTCATACATCTTTATCTAACACGTTATGAATTTTGTAATATGACTTTCCGATTAAAATATTTTTAATGTAGTTTTTAAACTTAGGAAATTACAATCTTAATAGGTACATGCTCTGGAATCTTATTGTAAAAACGTATACAGTTCCCCTTAAAAGAGTCGTTTACCTTACGAAATCGGGGTACCACGAGTTTGGATTAGCTCTAAGGTTAATATTACGGATAACTTCTTTCTTATTGAAATTATGTATATTTTTACGAGCATATAAATTATTTGAGTAAATGAACTGTGATGCCATAGTCATGATACCGTCTCCTTAAACTTTTCCCTGAGAGAAACCCGAGAACCTAAACGGTACACAGAACATAATAAAATATATAAAATAAATTGCTATATATATAAAAAAATATATAATATATATATAAAAAAATGGTTTGAATATCTGCCGCTTTACCCCACATGAGAATCCCGTAGGACATTATACTATGGAAGTAACTAAAGTGAACTGGTTGGTTTCTTAACGCACATGAAAACCGCCAAATATGTCAGTGAACCGTCCACACTAGGTATATTCATGATTTTTAACTCCATACTTGTCGTGTTTGCATGTTTATCTGTACGTCAAATATTTTTCCAATTACATACATCAAACATCCTATAGCGAATTGAAGCCATGTGAAGAGCCACTATAAGGTGGCAGTAATTCCTTGGACGAACTCTTTCACAAGGATCTCTAGAATTCTAACTTATCGACAGATAATCAACCCTTTTTGCACTAGCTTCTATGATGACATGTTCTACAACAATATTTACGTGAAGTATGCTGCCCTCTTTATCAAAACTAACGTAATCCACATTTTAGCAAAGTTTAGTTATTAACATAAATCTGGGATCAGTGAAACCAGATCTACAACCCTATCTAATCGGTTTTTTAATATCGTATGGTGACAATAAAAGTTTAGGTGCCTGTATCTCGAAAGTCACCGAAATCCAAATGCGAGTTATAACAAGGAAGAAGTAAGTGTTTTTGGTCTAAGTGCCATGCATAAAATAAGTATGTACTAGTATTTTTAAAAATACAGTATGGACTTAATTAAGTTTAAACTTTTCAATTATAAATAAGAAACAAAACTAAATTCCCAACCAACCTTTCATTACTTCGCGACCGCACGAAAAACAACAATGAGGTCGATAACACCCATTCCACGAAGTCTCACCGCACACATACGCATAGCATACAATGGGTGGGTCGTTGATGCAAATACGACATGTTCACGAAGGCCCTCCCCGCAGATGTCCGCGGGGAGGTGCGCGGGTAGTGAGGGGAAAAGTTGCCGCCAGTCGCGAGCCGGCAGCGGCTCACGCAAGATGTGTATAAATAATCTATGTTAATTTGAATTCTCGATTTAGTTACAAAATAACCCAATATGCCCCCAAAAAGAGAGAAAGTAGAGACAAACCAACCGAATAAAGATGGTACTGGAAAAAAACCGCGAAAAAAGTATAAAACTAGGAAAAAGAAAGATGATTGCCCTAGTAGAGCGAGAAAGACGGACCGTGTAGTTATAAACAAACAAGTAAGTCTGTTTTTTTGTTACTGCATGCTGTTAAAATGCATGGCTCTTCTGAGAATGGTACAGAAGCATCTTACTTAATGTAGGTTACATGTAACGTCCAATTTTATCAAGACTCTGATTACAAAATGTATTGTATGAAGTCTGCGCTCTACATAAGCTGGTCGATTATGATGATAGCGCAATTGACCGTAATGCCGACTTTCGAATGTGAGATTCGGGTTCATTCTTCAAAGTGCAAATTGTTTTGAAAAGTTATACTTTGCAAGATACAGTATATATTTAATTTTTTTAAATGAATACGGGTGCATTGTCTAAACGTCTATTTAAAGTGTTTCTTCTGTGGCTCTTTCTTATTACTTTTTAAAAAAGATCAAAGACTAAGTTAATGCTTAATGGTTTTGGAGCCACAACAAATTTTTTTCACGAATTGAAATTTATTCTTTCATAAAATACAGTAGAAAAAAATTGTATTATAAAGTTTGATATTTTATTCGTACTTTTCCAGGCCAGAGATATGATAGCAAAAGTATACGAATTCATGAAACATGAAGCGTCGTCGGAATATGCAGAAAAGTTGACTAATGCAAGATGGCGATGCGCACACGCCTGTGGGGTATCAGAGAAAACAGTAACTAGAATATTGAAAGAGAAACGAAAGGCTGTAGCCGGTTAGAGCATTTACTTCTTTCTTCTATAAAATCACTGCATAAAGTCGCACCATTGGTGTAATAAAGCTACATCTGCAAAATGACTATTTCTGGAGAGAGGTTTGAAGATTCTTCGAACGAAATTAGTTGATAACTTTTTATGCTTTAATAGGAGACTTATAAAATTTCACATGTACATAATTTGTTATAACACTATAATATCATATAATTTTCACGACTTTCATGTGGTAAAAGGACTTGACATAAGATCACGTGTAGCTTTATCATACCAAAGGTGCGAAGTAAAATATTAATAAAACTCAATGAGTACACTCACTTACATTCCACGCCTGTCTCCTACTACATAGGCAGTGATTTGAACTTCCTTCCCGTTTTTCTTGTTACTATTGGCGTGCCTTTTTTAAGTCGATCCACAATCTAGATGAAATCTAAAATTGTTCACTTAAGAATTTTATTTTTAGGAAGATGTTACGCCTTAGTAACAATTTTTGCATTACATCAGTAGACACCCTAATACTCAAAATTAATAATTAGTTGTATAAAAGTGAGCCTCCGTGAACTTTATTTCAATTATCTGTATCCGTTAATACAATCATTGTGATTTCAATTTCAGCTGCAGCAGGAGGCGCCGTAGGAGCTGTAGCCACTGGCAAACATGGTAAGATGACCCATTTTTATTAACCTTTACTTCACTGCTATTCTAATGAAGATTAGGTACTTGTTTGATAAAAAAATAAAAATTTAAAATTTAAAAAAGCGTCATAAGAATCGATGATCCAGCTGCCGAGGACTATCGAGAAATTAAAAGCCCTTATTAGCCCATAATAGTTTAAACAGTTAAAAATCATAAATAGTTAGTCTACTAAAGTCTACTAAATCATATATAAATAGTAATAAGAAATAAGTTCATTCATTCATTCATTCATTGTGAACATTTTCGACTGAATATCGACAATCATTGCACACTGCCCTTATAGGAGTAGGCGAATCGCTCCTATTTTGGAAGAGGCATATGTGTAGCGCTGGAAGACGTAAAAAGTTATTGCTACGTAAAGTAACAGAGTGGACAGAGTCACGAGCGCAGAACAACTGTTCCATTTGGCTATGTTTAAGGACAAGTTTGTCATATTAACGGTGAACCTCCAATAGTGGAGAGGCACTTTAAGGAGAGGTTTGTGCAGCAACTACGACAACTTATATCGCGCGGTCTCATTGAACGCGTATATTATTGTATGTAAATTACAAAACCTGCAAAGATTTTTATTAACTTCCTTTGACAAGAAAATATCACATTATTATTAGCACAAAATCACTTTTGTTAGTGTTTACTTTTAAGTTATAGTATAGCAATCCAAAGTAGTTTTTGGCCTCCGCGTCTAGAACACGCCAATCAGGTTATTTCTAATATCCACGATATTACCAACTCCGTAATACTAATTTTAATTATCGAGTTTTTATTTATCTATTTTTTTCATCAGCTGAGACCATGGGACTTGTAAAGGGTCCGAAAAATTTTAGTTTGTTTGAAAAAACAAATACACGTGATTTGCATCTAACAAAAGTATTCACAAAGTAAAGTAAGTTAGTAATCGCGTAATCGCTAATAACAAATAATTTTTTAACTTCAGGTTCACTCGAAAACACGGGAAATACAAGCAACGAAACAGCTCATGGAAGTAAGTACTTATTTATTAATAATAATATAATGTCCTAGTTACTTTTTTAAACCCTGTATGCACTTAACAAAATTATTTATTATGTATTCCTATAGACCTCTCTGGAGCTGTGTCAAGTTTAGGCAAAGGTGTTTCTAATAGTAAGTAAAAAAAAACTTTCTTTTATAAGTAATTATTTTAAACATTTTTCAAAATTGTAGTTAAGTCAGGACGTTTCACCACGATGATATTCAATAATTTTTTTGTTTGCTTAGTTGGCATAGCGTCTGGCACGGTTTGCTGGGAGACGTTGGTTCGAATCCAACCGGATCTAAGTTAATTTTTTCTAAGTGTTCGGTCTTTGTTAAATAATTATTTTTCAAAATTGTTAGAGCAATTTTTAACTACTTTATTTTATTTATACGTATGAATTATAATATGTATAAGAGATTTTAAAGAAAATTTTCTTTCGCAGTGCTCGCAGGTGATCTTCAAGGAGTCGGAATTTTAGCTGGTGGTGTCTCAGGTTAGTTCAAAAATATAACTTAGCTGTACTGTAAAAATTACATAAAACATTGTTAGTTTACTACTGAACATGTATATATCTAAGAAAGAGGAATTTCTTATAACAAATGATCATTATCATTCATAATAATGATGGGAATTATTTGAACTTCCTACTTGAAATAGGAACATGGCAAAGTCTGCAAAACTGTCTTAACGATGAATAATATTTTTTTCAGCTGCTGGTGGTCATCTACTAGGACCTCATGTTGGAGGATCGGGAAAATTTGTAGGTGAGTACCTGCAGTTGCTACTTGTGTTTCCTTATATATATATATATATATATATATATATATATATATATATATATATTTTTTTTTTGGAGTTCCACTATCAATTGAATATTTGCCTATCAGGTGCTGGTCAATCGGCAGGAATATTAGTGGAAGGAAAACTTGGTAAGCGAAAATAATCTAAATTAATTTATATGAAAAAAGAAAATATAAGTTAAAAAAAAACTGAGCAACACAAGACCCGAATTAAAAGAACCCTACACGCCAACCTAATTCCATTCGAGACCATTGACGTTGCAACACGTCCAAAACGTGGAGATAAATAAAATATGTATATGTTTTATACTCGAAAAGTCCCAAATCAAATAAACCTAATGCAGTGGTAGAGCAGTAGAGCTCCTTGTGAAAGAGTTCGTCCAGGGAATTACTGCCACCTTACCTATTTCTGCCGCCAAGCAGTAATGTCACCATTACTGTGTTCCGGTTTTGTGCCGGTGCTATTACAGGCACATGGGACTTGTCAACTTATGTCTCAGGGTGACAGGCGCAGTGGCAGTGCCCCTCAGATCTTTACGATTTAGTAATAGTAATAATAGTAATAGTAATAACGCACACACTCAAATTTTTACTCAAAGATTTAAAGCTCTGAGTGGCACTGCAACTTTATGGACAGGCGGGTAGCTTACCATCAGGCGCAACACAAGTATATTTACACTTGATATTGTAAAAAAAATCCAAATAACCATTATAAACAACGTCGACAAGCCTGGAGCATCTTGTTGGTAATATCGCGGATATTCTAAAGAAATTCATTAACTACACTTTGTAAAAAAAATATTCACTCACATAGCTTTGTCTTCACTTTCTGATATGGTATCCATACGTGTGAAACTATTTTTTTTTAATGATCTGCAATAGTACATTCCCAAGAATAATAGATTGATAAATTAAATTATTAGTGACAGGCCTTTGACTTACACGTCTTTACTTACAGGAGCTGTTAAAGAAATGGGTGATGCAAGTAATAATGTCGCTGCTGGAAGTGAGTATCTAGAACTATTGTACAATTATTACAATAAGTATAATTGTACAATAAAAACTAAAAAAAAAGTTCCATTAAAATCGTGTGAGAGATTTTCAAATATGTATTTGTTTTTCAGATTATTCTGGTTTAGGAACAAATGTTGGAAATGCAACAGGCCAAGGTTTGTTTACAAAAGAAGGAATTTGTTTATTACTTCCATTAGACATTAAGTATTTCAGAAACACTTATCTCCTGCCTATTATAACTCAGCTGTTGCTGTTTGTATTCTAGTGTAAAAAGCCTAGTCTTCATGTCTTGAAAAATGTATAACTAAAGAAATGGGGGCTGCTATTATTTGTCACACTCACTAGAGGGCACTTTGTGAAGTACAAATAAAGAATTACAAGTAAAAATTTGAGATAATTTATTTGAAACCTACACAACCTAAAAACCCAGCAGGAAAAAAAATCGCTTCTGGTGGTGCGTAGAACGGTAGCCCCCAAAAATATGCTAATTCTGATTAATATTTCAGTTCTCAGTCATGATGTCCAAGGGGCAGACGTACTTGTCAATGCGGCTGGTAGGTAAATACCTTTTAATTTTATTTTTTATTTAGACGCGTTATGGAGGAATCATTAATTAGTTTGGAGGTAGTATGGTTATTTACATACATTGTTTTATTAATTTGTTACAACTGATCAATTGATAACTCAATATATTATTTTTTTCTTTTACAGATGGTTTTTTTAAACACTCTGTCTTCGATTATTATTAACTGGTGAGTTAATTATTTTGCACCACTGGTAGAGTAATAAATTTGAATAGAAATAATAAATGCCTATAAAGTTTTAAATACTTTCCGGTATTTTAAGGTATAATAAATAGGTATACACACACATACGATATAAAATATTGACACACACAGCCACGTCTCTGGCGATGACACCGTGACTGTTTAGTATTTCTGTTTTTGATCTTATTATTTGTTTAATTTATCTGTAATTTTTGTATAATTTTACTGTGTTCTACTCTGTGTACTCTTTTGATAAGCACTTTACGCTATATGCTAAATGTGACAATCCGTTAATGGCATTTAATTGCTCATCGCTCATCTTTTAAATATATTTGGAATTGGTCTGTGAAAATATGTAAAAAATTAAATTAAATAATATAAAATAATACTTTTGGTATGTACTCATTTTACATAGATATGTTTCCTGGGACCCTGTTGTCTGAATTAGGCTCTATGAAATATTTATTGGCTATAATTATAATTAAATGGCGCCAAAGTTTCAAATAAAACTTTTTTTACAGAACACTACACGCGACACGAATAGAAAACCAAAACAACAAAATTATTCGAAATACGTACCTGTCTAAAAAGTAAAAACTTGCTATGCATTATTGTCGCTGCATTATCGGATATAGAGCGTTGGTTTAATTCTTCAATTTAAGAAAGTGATCATAAGATAAACAAAATCGTCAAAACATCGTTTGAATTATTCTCCACGTGTACTTATTTAACTAAGTTAATAAATATTTTTCTATTGTTCATTGGTGTTTTATTAAAATAATTTTCCCGCGCGTTGAAATAATGTGTACCATAGTTAATGAGTTTTTGAACTGGCAACTCCTACCATGGGCAAAAAAAGGCAAACCAAAATACCCGCAACCATCATGATTTATAAATTATGAATTTATAACTTTGTGATTAATTTATACTTGCTTTATAATAATTAATTTCTAATTGTAATCTTTTGAATTTTATTACATTTTGCTATCATGGCTTTAGACAAACTACGAATTTCAGAATCAGATGCACCAACTGTGAGTTACTACTATGTCTTCCGGCTCTGTCACCTCATATGTTTTTTTAATTAAAACTATCACTATTTTTTCTTATAGGAGATACCAAAACATGTTTACGATATCATAGAACGTATTGTTGAACATCCTAATGTACACGGAGTCATGTATTTTAGAGGAAGTGAGTATTTACTTTATAAAACTTACTAGGCAATGAAACAATAATATTATACTACATTAATTATTAATATGTTATATTTCAGATCATGTTGAAATGTGTACAGTTCCGAAACACTATTCGGTCCGGTTTTCAACTTTCTTACCTTTAATGTCGAACGCAGTACATTTTGCAGTAACTGAAGTCGTAAATATTTCTTCTCAATATTTGTAATGAATATCTACAGGGATTTTTTAAAAATCGATAGTCACTAAATTGTTAATTAAATAGATTATGTTATTATCAATTGAAGAGCACATCATGCTTGATTTCGGTCTATTCTTATAAATATTAACCGGGTTACAGTTGAATTTAATTATAAGTGTAAAGTGTAAAGCTCGACGTGCTCTTGACCAGAGGGTCAAGAGCACGTCGAGCGCGTCTGATCTTTTGTAGAGACAAAAGATCAGAATAAACAAGACCCACCAAATCTGGTTTCCGGTGATGAAATTTGGACTGTTTAACATATTTTTTACACTACGTATACCTGGCTATACACTTCCCATTTATACCGTACGTACCTACTATGAAAAATGGTTAACCCATTTTCGAGTTTATTGTGCAACAATATCAAGTTGTTGATTGATTAATTATATTTTCATTTCATGACCAACAGGATGTAACTGATGAACTCATGACATACAGAATAGAGACCAAGGCCTACGAGATAATCGTCGCAGGAGGTAGGAAATTTGGAGCGGTAGTTGTTCAGAAAAAGGAGAAAAATAAAATTCAAAGGCGTTAAAAAAATAAATACACAAATATGAAGATTATTCCCAACTTATTAAAGGATTTTCGTGATGAATGGCTAGTGCATACGGTTTGTATTTCTCAATGTCAGTTGTTCTGACATTGTTGTTGCAGAGTGAACTCGTAGATAGATGTGATTTTCATTTTTATTGATAAGATATATTATTACCAGAGACCAGAATAGAGTATTTACCTAAACTTCAAGAGAATATAAAACACACATGGAGTGGATAATGCCACCCTCTGAAATCACAAAATTGCTGTATTTTATTTTGATATTTATTTTTTATGAATTAACTATTATTTCAATGAACTAGCAATCATTTTACTAGATAAGTATATTCAGACGAAAAGTTTTGTACGTAAAAAGTATACTGTTAACTATTTTGTTATTATTTTTGATACAAGATTGAACAAACGTAAATTAAAACTCTTTCAATCCGACTGGATTCGTTACAGTGTCTGTTGCCCGAACGTGGCTACCGCTCTATCCATCTTAAACACAGATCGAGCTAGCATATTATAATAAAATACCTTATTTTTAATTTTTTCAAAAAAGAAACATTCCAATTTCGTGTGAGTTTTGTAAAATTATTTTCACAGTATAATTTTCTTAATTAAATTTCATTTTGTTATTATATTGGTAAATAGAATCAAATAAAACATATTAATTATTACTACAGCCTTATGTCTGCTTGGGATTTTTCATCAGAGGAAATACTGGATCCCTTGGAAATAATGGATTTAGATCCAAAAAAATAGTTTCATTATTAAAGCTACAAATCCTGACTCACTTAGTAAAATAGAACGCATGCTTCCCGATGTGGCGGAAAAAAGATATTTGTACCGTTGTACGCGGATAGGCTCCAAGGCAAAGAATCAAATATGAGAAGATCTGAATGTGAGAAATGTAAACGACGGTCAATGGCCTGCAAAAACTATAATACATGGGGGGGATTTTTGTGCACTTTTATGAGATACACCAAGGTGACCAAGGTCAATTTCTGCAGAAAGTAAAAAATGTTCGAAATTCAAATAAACAAGATGGCCGCCAAATTTCGAAGCCTTCTATCACGGAAACTATTAGAGATAGGTAGGACGTGCTAGAAGAAATATCAGAGGGTAATAAAAAATTATATAAAAAAATTCAAGATGGCGAATCCTAAACGGCCGAAAAAAACTTGCTTCGATGCGGCTGAAAATTGGCATGCGGGGGTCTTTAGGAGTCTTTAATCATAATTTCGGGTCAAAAGCTTTTTTTTGCCATTTTTTTAATATGGCAGCCATATAAGTGTTTTTTTCATTAAAAATAGCTGCTGAAAGAGGCTCGCTCTGTTTCAGCTGAAAATTGATACGTCGAGGCTTCTAGAAGTGCCAAATAATAATTTGTGCCCGAAATTGGTTTTTCGCCATTTTCAATTAATATTGCCGCCATACAAGCGTTTGTTGGCAGTAGAAAAAAAGTTGTTCTGATCCCATCCAAAATGGTCAGGTGGGAGTCTCTAGGAGTGCTTGATAATAATTTGTGATGAACATTAATTTAACGCCATTTTTCAATATGACTGCTATGGAAGTATTTTTTGTCGTTAGATGAAAATTTGCTCTAATTCACTTGAAAATCGGCATGTGGGTGTCTCTATGGGTGTTTAATAATAGCTTCCGGTCAAAATTTATTTTTTGCCATTTTTCAATATAGCCGCCATTAAAGAGCTATGTTAATTTTTTAAACTCATAAGTACCGAGGCCGTAGGCCGAGGTCTAGCGGAGGGCAAAGCCCGAAGCGTCTGTACACCACCTTACGTAGGTAGTATACGGGAACTAGATTTAACAATTGTTCAAAATGTAAGGCATACTACCCGATGTAGTGCAAATAATATCTTATTTACTTATACAACTTATAGCGTTGTTGTATCTCGACCGTCTCTCTGTTAGATTCTTTTTTATTTGAAGCTATGCCAAAAAGAAAAGGAAAAAATGCCAGACAATCACTTCAAATTTCTGGTCTCAAACTAGGGAATTTCCTGTACTATGAATAACAGAGTAATGATAATTCTGAAGGCAATACCCAGAATCGTGATCAGGGTTGACCACGACCAACTTAAAAATTTTTTTTTCATAAATTGGCTCAAATAAGAAACCGAATCTGGAACCTACTCATCAAGCGCCCATAGTACTAATCGCTGTGCCACCGAAGAGCATTAGCACACCCTATAATCTGAAAGGGACCACGCGCCGCAGGCCGAGCCCTACCCCACTGTGGGTGGGGTACAGGGCTCGTTTTCTATATAATTTCTTGATTATTACAGACAGCTGCAATAAACAAAGTCAATCCAATAATCGATCGAATTATGGATGACGAGTCTGTTGTGATCGTAGTAATGACTAATAAAGATGGTAAATTGTACATAAAAATTTATTGATTTTGTAGTTATTTTAACATCTTCGACATTAAAATAAATAGATCGTATTAACATGCAGGTAATCCAATATTGACTAATATTGGTCTTAATACTGCGTCCAACTTTGCAAAAGCTCTTTACCCCATTTCCAGAATGGCTACAAGATCTATCACTGAATTGGTTAGTTCATTCATATATTTTATATATAAAAGTTATTTCCGTAATTAATGATAATACTTAATAACAAAATGTTATTTCAGGATATCTTTGACGAAACCTTAGCTTTCCGACTAAATACCAAAAATTATGAAATCTTACTCGTCCCTCACCTGGAATTTAATATCGTAGTAGTTCAACAAAAAAGGGTTTATACTAAAAAAAATCAGAACAAAAATACTACCGAAAAAGAATTCTAATTCTCTATGATAAAAATTCATTCGTTACTTACTTGACTTATATGTGTTATTTTAAATATTTCAATAATATGTATAAATTGTATTTATGAAATAAAACTTGGAAAATAGCGTTCTTTTTTATTTAAATAACAACCTTTTAATATTTGATATGGTTATATTGATGCAATGGCGCATTAATAACTAGAAAAACGAACCTACAGTATGATTTTTAAACATAACGCTTTCTAAATTATACATTTTTCGTCTTAATACACCGTTTTATTTTTTATGCTCTTTACTTTGATTGCTTATTAAATAAATTAGACAACCTCCATTTTTATCAATCGGTTAATATTGGTAGGATCTTTGTTTGAAATGTATTGAAGCTGGTATCATTTTTAACCATAAACTAAGTAGCTTTGAAAATTCAACCAATCAGGGATGTCCGGATGTACGCCATCTTTTAATTATCCACAAACAAAATAATTTATTATTTCATGCGCAGCGCGGCGGTGTCGTTTGTTGAGCGTTAGTATCGCGTGTTACATGTTTCATTGTGCAATAAAATTTAGATTTACTTGATTTTTATTGTAACAATCGCGGAATAAGTGAAGAATGGCCGAAAAATATGATAATAATGGATATGGTGGAGGTGATTTTAAGCGAAATTCGACTCAAGACTTGCAACAGTCCGAAGACGCGGTACAAGATGGCGAGGATGGACCAAAATTGAATGAAAAAGCCGGCGAATATATGAGAGATCTTCTTGGCGAAAAAATCAAATTGAACAATTCAAAATTCCCCATATCTACTAAGCTTATTGATGCAGGTAAAGTGTAAATACCTTATTACTATTCTATGGCCGACTTATTTTGGCATATGGCGTTTTTTAGTATAATCACGAAATATCGATTTAGCAGATTCAATAATTTCTTTATATTTCATTGCTTAATACACGCATTGAACAGCTTAAGTAAGCTTATGGAACTTCAGTGCAGCGAAATATAATACCACAAACCTATATTATTGCCAAAAATGATGTAATGTTATTTTGGTCATTGACCTGGAGTAAAAAAGTATCCGGTACAGAAAATTGAACACATAAGGAAAGTCAGGTCAGATGAGAACTTTGTATGCCTACTGTGACATACATTGTTTTATCAAGATTGTGTGTATATTATATGTAATCTTTCATTGTTAAGAGATTGGTTGTTTATTTATCTTTATTTACCAAGTTGCAAGATAGTGACCTTATAATGTAATAAGGTAATGAACTTTATTATTTTTCAATTTCTTTCTCTACTTTATTTTCTCCTTTTTCTATTTCTCATTCTGTTTTCCTTATTATTTCTTTTGTTATGAATTTGTCTCATCTGTAGGGTTAGCATGATATGGCGCGACTTGCGCGAGAGCGACATTGATAACTCGCGACAGAGGTGGGCGCTTAATCGAAAAGTACTTAAAAAAGTTTGGGCTCAACTGTACAATACCTACACTCGAGTTGAGAGTTGAAATTAATATGGTGAATAGATTACATAGTTAGTAATCTAATCCTAAAATATTAACTTACGGAAACTCGTAGTTTTGATAATAAAAATTATTGAAATATTCTAAAATAAATGATACGAAACAAGTTTTGTAGGTTAAGAAGCACGGCGTTTGGTTGTTATATGAAAAAGCAGCACGAGCCGAGCGTGTCGCGGCAGAGGCCAGCGAATAGCGCAAGTGAAATAGTTTGCGTTTCCGAAATTATATTAAATTCAAAATTAAAATTTTAATTATATTAAAATCATTTACAATTTTGCATTTTTGCTCAGTTTTAAGGTTAAATTTGCTTTGTCATATAACTCAGGAAGGTGGTTCCCTAACTCCCCGGTCACAGAGGGTCTCAGGAGGTAGGGCCCCTCACCCCCATAGAGAGAATCAATTACAATTTTTGCATTTTTGCTCGGTACCGTAACTCCCCGCTCAAAGTAGGGGTTTGGGGGGGCTCCCCTGCAAAAACAAAAATTAATTAAATTAATCCGAACAAAAATTAAGAGTGTAGGTATTGTACAGTCCTACCCATTATACATACGTTTACTGCCTCTGTGGCCAAACAGTTACCATGCTGGACTGTCACGCAGAGGGCCCAGGAACGATTCCCGGGCCGGGAGAAATATTTGTATGGCCTACACTTATTACTCTCGTGAGTTCGGGGGTAATTGGTACTTGGTGTAACGGGCTAGTGTCCGCAACTCGACGTCAAGGCGCCTATTTTGCGTGTACGACCAGCCTGGCTACGAAAAAATCAATCAAATTTGTATTCTACAAAAATCTCACCCCTCTGTAACATAAATTTTTATTTTATCTATTTGCCCAAGCTTTTATGTGGACCATCTTTGGATATAAATATATAAAATTCTCAAACCACCTTCACATATTAGTGGTGGCTTGAGAATTTACCTTAGTGGCCCCATGGTTTGTATTATAGGCACTGGATGAGTAGTTCTCGGCTATGATTTCTGGGAGGACCAATTTAGGAAATTAATGTTCTGGTCTGGGTAGTTCCCTGTACCGAATTCTGATACTCATAGTACAGAAAATGCATGGTAATTGATATGATTATCGGGCACATAATTATTTTTATTATCTAATCCTATTTATTACCCAGTATTGTCCATGGGTTAGGTTAAATTATAAATTAGTTTTTTTTTATTGTATTAAAACTTAGACACAGGTGGTCTACCAAAACGTTAAGTGGTTACTGCGGTTATTGACCCGTGTCTACAGAAGTATGAATAACATTGTAAACATCTTGCCAGCTGTGGGGCATTACACCATAATTAGAAACTGATGAAATTTAAATTGCATTACTTACATTACCTGTTTTTTTAATATTGTATTTCTATATTTTTTATTTAGTTGCACAAAAAGAAATGCTCACCATTGCTGTACAACATTTTCCTCTTGGACATAATTAGGCAAAAGTCCTTTTAATAAATTGTAAAGTTGTAGAGAAATTTATTACCAGTGTTGTTTAAAATGAAATTTCCTTAAAAGCCACAATTCTGGGACCAGACGGCCTAAAAAGGCATTATGATTCTGCCAATATGGCGAATCTTGGCAGAATCATAATGTCTAGAAGCATAGTAAATTTTTAGCCCTGCAGTATACTATAAACATTGGTGAATAATCATACTTATCAACACAATTGCATTAAGCTAGTTGCAAAAGAAAAGGTTGTAATAAGGGCGAAAAAGTTTTTCCACTTTTCCTCGGCGGTCCTAGCGAACGCGAGTTGTCTTTGTCGCTCTCATTGCATGGACACAAGGCTTTTTTTTTGACTGGCTCAAGCCAATTTCGAGTTAGTAATTGTGGTAATTCCCTTGCTCACCGACTATTACACATCGACACCTACGTAAATGTCGAAATTGACAAGTTTACAGGGGAGCGTTTTAAAGTTCTCCGTTTTATTCAGCAATAGCTGCTCGTTACATTGAGTGATCATCTAACCGATATCTAGGATTTTATAATACTCTATGTGAGTAACAACTTTGCCGACTAAAACAGAAATGCTAAAGTCACGTGCTATGCTTATTTCAGTGAATTCAGAACTTTAAAAGGCTCCCTGGTAAACTTGGCAATTTCGACATACAATACATTACGTAGGACGGATCCACATCAATCTAACCCACCTTTTGCAAACAATTTACCATTATTAAAATTAATTTCTACTACTATTATACTATACTTTGACCACTACATTTATTTATAAATAAATAAAGAACAAAGTTCTTTACAAGTTTTATTTCTTTAACAGAGGTGGCCCGTGTGCAAGCTACAGGCAAAATCGTCAGAGACGCCAAATATCTGGATGTATACCGTGAGAAGCCCGTCAAAGTTACAGTCAAAGTCCTTGTGCCTGTCAAGGAACATCCAAAGGTATAAATTTATGTGTTAATCAACACATTTTCTTTATAGATTTAAAATCATATCACTAAGGTGTGAGTTTCATTGTCAAAATTTGCTGGCCCATAATGAAATAAAAAACCACTGGAGGTTATTGCCGCATTTTGGTTAGTTTTAATTTCCTACATAATTTCACGTCATATTGCACGCATGTGATTGGTTGATTTCCTGCTGCATTGTTAATGCCGATGGAATAAACGATAAAAAAAAAATAATTTGGTGTTTGTATCTAGTAAAGATAACCTTTCTCAATTTTTTTGTACTAGTTCAACTTCGTGGGTAAACTGCTGGGACCGAAAGGAAACACAATGAAGCAACTGCAAGAGGAGACCATGTGCAAAATGGCAGTTCTTGGACGTGGATCTATGAGGGACAGGTATGCTCTCCTTTTATTCTTTTATAGTTAAAGTGCCAGATGATGAATATTAATCAGAGATAGCTCGATTAGGAGAAAATTCTTGCCTTCTTAGATGGTGCAAAATCAGAACCTGTTACTGGGGAGAATCTCCTAATAAAGACCAAAAGTAATTATACAGTGTTATTTGCAAAATAGTAACGACATCGCAGGCCTATATTACTAATATTAGTAACAACTTTTATTCTATGAAATACGACAATTATTTTTTTTATTGTATGTATGTCATGCGATAACTCTGCGATATTACGGCCGCCGAAAATACGGCATTTGTGAACCGATTTGAATGATTGTTTTTTTGTTGGAAAGAGGGTAGTCCCATTTAAATTTTAAGAAAATATTCCACCTCTAAGGGTGGCAAACAAAAAAAAATTTCGGTGAGTGTGCCCATGAGCTCCATCAGCTCATCTCACCCGCCCCCTTTTACCATCGGATATTCAGACATACGGCGAGATATCATGCTTACTTGGTCAATATTCCCTTCAGGGGTACTAAGCGCTTTTCATCATCTTTTATTATGTGCACAGCCCAGGAATGGAATTCTTGCCTGCGACTGTGTTTCCGAACTCATACGACCCGGGTATATATTTATAAGGTGCGACTGAACAGGCATCTTCCATCGTCGATGCTTTGCTCCAGAGCTAGATAGTGATCAAGAGCTAGTCCATTTAATTCAAAGAAAGGAAAAAAGTTCGAACGTGGAAGCGTCTCCTCCTCGTGCTATTGCACTTTGTTGTGTTACTGTACAGAGTTATCACCGTTTCGAGCGATCTATTTAAATATTTTTATTTTATACGAAAGTAAAATCTGATGATTTATTAAGTCATGGAACAAAAGTTGTTTATGATGTTAGTAATATGGTCCTGCAAGTTTGTTGTATTTTACAAGTAAGCTTGTGTAGTCAATGTAGAGACAAAACACACTGTGAAAGAGTTTTTCCGGGGAAGTACTACCACCTTACCTATTTCTGTCGTCAAGCAGTAATGTCAGCATTACCGTGTTCCGGTTCCGGTTTCGGTCCGGAAAGGTAAGGGAGCTGGTGAAAATTACAGGCACATGGGACTTGTCACCTTATGCCTCAGGGTGTCGTGCGCAGTGGCACTGCAACTGTTATGGACAGGCGTGTCACCCTGAAACATAAGTTGACAAGTCCTATGTGCCTGTAATTACAGGAAATGAAATTTCATCAGCGCCCTCGCCCTTCAAAACCGAAACACAGTAATGCTGACATTACTGCTTGGCAGCAGAAATAGATAAATAAAGCATTTTTTAATGTATTGTTATAACACCTGCATCGGTTAGAGCTCTTTTCTGTAAATTTAACTGCCTGGATTGGGCTTATTTGTGGTAACAGTCTCAACCCCTCTACTAACTTATGCACCAATGAGAGTAATCAGGACTATCTATACAGCATCTCAACCCACCTGATAACAAGATAACCTGTATGTTTACAGACCTTGTTTGATAATTATGCCTAACTGCACTATCTTTTGAGTTTACTAAACTTACATGCGGAGTTTTTCAACTTCAAAACACGTCGCCATGATATTGTTTATCTTTATAAGAATTTCTATTCTACATAATAATCTCGATTGCACCTATTTAGTTCATTAACTTTGTAGAAAACAATACAGAGCACATTAAACTAAAATAAACATCTTAGTTTCTTAAGTATACAATTGTTTTATTGTTACAATACATTATAATATAAATCTCTTATTGTATTACCACAAATAAATAAGCCTTGTGTATTAAGGGAAGCCGCTGACTTTTTTTATTGAGGTTCAAACAGTTTTTCTATAATTTTCAAATAAAACATTTAGCTTATTATTAAATGAGCAAGTATAACGTGTGACTAAAATCGAGCAATGATACGTTAATATAAATTATTGCCGGTTTTCAAGATCAGAAGCTCAAATCATCTCGATTTATTTGTAGCGTTACAATTGTCACTCACTTCTATCCGATAAACCACACTCACTGTATCCACACGCGAAACTGAAGTCGAAGCGTGTTTGTTTTTATTCATGTAAGCACTGGTTCAATTTTTACATATTGCATACATGTATACCACAACACAAATCACACTGGAGTAGGCAGAGACCGTGAACCTCCATTCACTATGCACCTGACAAATCTAAAGACATCACTACCTATTACACAGCTGCTATTAACATAATTATAATAACAATAACGCACATACACTCATAGTCCCGCACTGGGAATCCCTGTATCACAGGTGCCATGGACAAACACATAGACAACCACAAATTACACCTAAACTCACGAGAGAAATAAATGTAGGCCATACAATTATTTCTCCCGTCTGGGAATCGAACCCGAAAAGCGACCTCTGCGTGGCAGTACAGCATGGTGACCGTTCGGCCTCGGAGGTAGTTATTACTTTGTAGCTGTTATTTAGAATGTAATGTATTTGTAGACGTAGAGCTCCTAGTGTCCTATTTCTATCTCCAAGCGATGAAACTTAAACTTAATTATACCAAAACTGAATTTGAAAATATGACGTAAATGCTATTTTAAAACATTAAAGTTAAAACTTAAACATGCTAAACATGCTCATCTGAAAAATTTTGTCTATGTCTATTTACAAAGAAAGAGGAACCCCTAAAATTTCTTGCACATTCTTCTCAGAGGAATCGGCATTACTATTGAGTTGACAATTTTAAATGTAATTTACTTGTTTATTGACTTATTGAATAAAAAGGTATTTTGGATTTGAGTCACAACATGCAAAGTGCTTAAAAGAGACCACAGATAATCGCAGCAAAGCGATTCGTTCTGTGCACCGTTTAGGTTCTCGGGTTTCTCTCAGAGAAAAGTTTAAGGAGACTGTATCATGACTATGGCATCACAGTACATTTACTCAAATATTTTATAAGCCCGTAAAATATACATAATTTCCATAAGACAGAAGATATCCATAATATTAACCTTAGAACTACGTCCAAACTCATGGTACCACGATTTCGTTTAACTAAGGTAAACGAGTCTTTTAAGGGGAACTGTATACGTTTTTACAATAAGATTCCAAATAATATATTAAGATCATTCCCTAAGTTTAAGACTTACATTAACAGTATTTTCGTTGAAAAGTCATATTACAATATTGAAGAGTATGTTTTAGATAAAGAAGTATGGAAAGACAACTAGAGTCTAGATTCCACACAATTATGATTTAAAGTGTATTCTGTAGCATTTCAGTTTATTTGAAAAGAGCAATAGAGGTTTCTTGCTCGTTTTTCTTAGGGAGGCTAGCATAGTGAACGAGTAGTAGCTTAAAAAATGACGTTTTCAAGTGTAAAAATTTTACCTATGGAATAAATGACTTTGATAATTAAAGTCCTAGATCCTTTCGCAGATCATATTTGCTTAACCACGTAGTACAATAAATTGAATACACACTTACAAATAAAATTTCATTACAATACACAATTGTACACCTCAATTTTATTATTTATTTATTACATGATTAAAAGTGAACTTGTGTATAAGAATAAAATTAAATTATTGATAGTACAAGCAAGTTATAATGTGGTAAGTTCTAAGTATGTGGACTTTGTTATAGTGTATTTTTGCTTTCAATCTAGACAAAAAGAAGAAGAACTCCGAAACTCCCTAGATCCGAAGTATTCGCACTTGTCAGACGAGTTGCACGTGGAGATAAGTGCGCTGGCGCCACCGGCTGAGGCGCATGCGCGGATTGCGTACGCCTTGGCAGAGGTTAAAAAGTATCTCGTGCCAGATGCTAACGACATGATCAGGCAGACCCAGATGAGAGATATTATGGACAGAGGTAAGTAAACCATAAAATAAAAATCTGAAAGTTATTTCTAAATATTGAAATAAAATTTTACCACTTATGATATGTTCAATATGACACGCACCCCACTGTTTTATAGTTTATATCTGTGGCTCTAATGAAAAGGGGTATAAGTCAAAGAACCCACCTTTTCCACGAGATGCGAAAAACAGTTTAACAAGCTTAAGATGATATTAAGCGTTAAGTGCTTTTCGCGTTTCCTTTTAAAGTTGATTTTTTTACTTGTACCCCTTTTCATTAGAGCCACGGATATAATATTCCCAGTGTCTACATACTAGAATCCTTTGGTTCAATCCATTTTAAACAAAAAGTAAACAAACAAGTCACTGACCCGACCACAGACGGTATAGTGATGGCCAATTTCAACAAATCAATTAATTAATTCAATGAATATCGATTTGTTTAATTAAGTCATACTAACGGTTTTCATTACATAAAGGATTTGCCAAAAGGGAAGCTCCTTTCGTGCACCCCACTTGATTGCAGTAATAAGAATCCTTTTCTGTTGCCTAGGAGTGCGGCCCGGTCCCCCCGGTCGCATCCCGCCTCGCATGCCGCCGGCTCCCCCACCGATGTCGCGGCCCATGCCCGCCAAGAACAAAGTCATCAGCATCCTCGATCGTGCACGCTCTGCTATGGAGTCCTCGTACAGCTACGATGATCCATACGCTTCAGAGCCTCCGGTCAGTTCTCTGCCAGTGTCTACTATTTTCTCATCATAGACAGGTGATACCGGCCTTGTTCGGACTACCATAGTGCAGCAATGCTGTGTTGCAAAATCGTTGAAAACCAAGTACAAAGATCCGACAGGCAAGCATTATATGTATATTCCTGAGGTCCACTGGTTCGTTCCGTGGCTTAGTTGGCATAGCGTCTGCCACGGTTTGCTAGAAGACGTCGGTTCTTATCCGGCCGGGTTATTAATAATTATAACAAATTAGTGGAGTAATTTCACAAAAGTAATTGGATATCTATTCAATACAAATTTAATACTCTACTAGTTTGTTATTATTGCTACAAATATTGAACAGACACGAAAAAAAACTTCGATCCGGCTGGACGAACCCAACGACTTCGCCACACCGGTGCTATATAATATTAAAAGTATTTATTACAGAATCTTGTCCATAATGTTATTAACAAAATCGTGTTAGTAAGTTTGACAATAGTAAAATAAAAATTATATTCTCGTGTGTAGCTTCACCCAATGCTGTAAGGCTGGTTTCACAGCTTTGCGTACGGACTGTCCGCCTGCGGGCCACCCGAATGAGTAGCATCCGCAGTGCTCTGAGTCGTATGTTTAATTTAGTGCGGATATTCACAGACGACAGTCGCGCCTACAATGAACCCACAGGTGACTTGTGCGGAGTTCACGCGGAGCGTGTTCAGTACGGAGCATCGAGTATATAACTAGAAATGGAGACGAAATGTCATTTAATTTGTTTGAAAACTATTAACTGCCAAATCATTACGGTGGCAACTGCCAGCCCGAATTCGAAACAAGGGACGGGAGTCGTCATTCGTTTCACATCAAATCGACCAGTTTAACTTGAACTTTGCTATAATGGCCGAAAATTGAAAAATTACATATTTAATTACCAATAATTATAATAATAATATATTTATTTCAGACAACTATTTAGTCCACATGTGTTATTAACAATTTTATTCTTAAAAATTATGTTAGTAGGCACTAAATCTAAACATTATTAAATTAAAAATAAAAACATGAACATTTGAGGCAATTAAAAAAACCAATGAAATGTGATTCCCTTTGTTTTCTAATTAGATGTTTTGCTGTTTTTCCCACACCACCGAATGGAACAGCCCCCATTGTTGGAGATATTATCTTTATGACAATAAATACAATGTTTTTGTAATATACGGAGACGTACACATAGGTCAGTTGTTGTCGCTGTACTATGGCAGCTTTCTAATTTGTGATCTCAGCGCAAACGAAAGTTGTTATTTAAAAGTGATAAAGGCCCTAAGGATGAGTTGTCCGGGATGGGTGGCCCTTATTTCGTCTCTATTTCTGGTCATGTACTCGATGGTACGGAGCAATCCCCGTCACTGTAAAACGATGTTCTAACGCCACACGTGTTACTCCTTCCCAGTGCTCCGTGCGGACGGTCCGCAAATAATTTCGCACTGCTCTGAAACCAGCCTAACATTGAGAGTTCCACCAGTCTTATAAACTTACTCCAGAATCCATTGGTAAAACCGCGAAAGTGGCTAGCATGGAGGCGCATCGTTTTCTCATTATACCATAGAATTTATATACTCTTTTATGTACTTATTCATTAATGATACATCGTTTATATTATAAGAAATTTAAGGCTGTCACAGTGAATATCACAACCATTAATAATATTTTAACGAGCTTTTTACCGCTTGCCTTTTTTGTTAAATAAATGCATAAAAATTATGTCGTACAGTCACATCAGTTACCTGATGTTTAAACCAAGTATTTGTAAGAAAGAAAAGTTTGTAAGAAGAAAAAAGGCCCGATGGTTTCATTTGAGGAGTTATGTGTCTTTGTAATTTTCGGGGAGTCGGGATCTTTTTTTTTCTTTTTTTCAATATCATAGAACGTCGATTGAGGAAGTATAATGATGCAAAAACAATTCTCTTATGGTTATTTGTTGCGTCCAAGATAACGTTGCCATTATCGAGTCTGGTTAGCGTCAGATGTTATCTTCGTATGGTGCTGTGGTACATCAAGGGTTTCTTATTTTTTATGGGTCTTAGCGCTATTGCTGATCATTCCTTAACTGGGGCATTATAGTCCAGTTATCCTGCATGCAATCATACTGTTCACGTGCAAGTGTGATGAAAAATAAATTAATTAACAAACGCTCTCCTTTCATGGCACCAATATTTTAGTATTTAATAGCAGTAGAGCTCCTTGTTAAGGAGTTCGTCCAGGGAAGTACTACTACCTTAGCTGTTTCTGCCGCCAAGCAGTAATGTCAGCATTACTATGTTCCTGTTTTGAAGGGTAAAGGTGCTGATGAAATTACAGGCAGATGGGACTTGTCAACTTATGTCTCAGGGTGTAAGACACACCCGCAGTGCCCCTCAGATCTTTGCGATTTAAAGCTCTGAGTGGCACTGCAACTGTTATGGACAGGCATGTGTAGCTTGCGATCAGCGCACGCTTATTCGTCCCGTCACTTGATATTACATTTAAAAAAATCATCCGCCCGTCACCCTCCGAATCGTCTGGATTTTTATTGTATACTATAGTAGTTTATGTGACTTACATAATCAAAGGCATTAAAACACGAGTGTGGGTATATGAAACGAGCCGACAGGCGAGTGTTTTAATGCCTAATTATGTACAGTTACATACACTGCTTTATCTACACACATATTATAAGCTCTCTGTGATGTGTTCAGGAACCGCACTTTACGACTGGCGAAATGGCGGCAAATAAAAACTTCTCACGCATGTCACACAACCGGAGTTGATGACAAACTAGAATCGACCCCAACTATCATATCGATCGATATCAAGTAACGTGTGAAATTGTCAAAAATTATTGCTATTGACATTTCATTTCGAGTAAAACTTCATCTCGACTGATATTAGAATTGAGGTCAAATCAAGTTGTTTTGTTTTTCAGAGATGTTCGAAATTTGAATGTGATAATAACATAACGCAACGATAATATATAAAAAATAACGAAGCAATAATAACATTTTCACAGATAAGAAATTTGTTCTAACAAAACAGTTTACCTTTATGCTGGTCGTAATTTGCGGTTTTTGAACACATTATAGAGAGTTTATGTTATGTGTGTAGATAAACACTTTAATTTTGTTTTACTAACACTTGTATGGACCGCCTTCTGAAGCCTGAAATAAAGTTCTTAGGTTTTCGCGATTGTTACACATCGGAAATGAAACTATTTTTCCGGATTTAAATCGTGTATATTTGTTTTAGTTTATTCTAATTTCTATTATTAATTAATAATAAATTGAACTGAATAAAAATTCATTCAATAAAATAATTTGTAAAACCTAAGATAGCGTAAATTGGAATGTTTCTTTGTAAAATTAAAAATAAGGTATTTAATTAATAACTATTGTAACTATAGTGAATAAATAGGGTGGTTTGCATCAATATTAGACATAACCGGTTGAAGACTGTACCACCTCAGTCAACTGTGACCATGGGACCTGTAAAGGACCGGAAACGTCGGTTTGTTTGAAAAAACAAATATACGCGATTTAAATCCGGAAAAACAGTTTCATTTCCTATGCCTGCAATAAAGTTCTTTTTTAAATGAATACCTTTGCGCCCCCAGGTGCGCGGCCCCCCGCCCCGCGCCCCCGAGCCGGACTTCTACTTCGAACGCAGCCACGACCGCTACTACGAGGAGGACTACTACAAGGAGCCGGCGCCGTCGCGCGAGTTCAAGGCGTCGGCGCGCGAAGTGGGCACGCGCCGCCCCATGCCGCAGTCGCGCCCGCAGCCGCACTACGCGCGCGCCTCGCCCTACGCGCGCCCGCCCAAGTAGTGTCATAGTTGGTATACTCCTTAGCGGCCCAGGCGCGCGGGGCTGGTGGACGCCAGGTGCTGGCTCTCTCACTCTCATCGTTCTGTACTAGGACAAGTAGGGTTGCCACTAATCTCGCGCTAAATTGAAATATCGCTCCTTTTCAAGAATAGTGGCTCATACCAACATAATTCATATTTCGCACCCCCTCGTGGAAGAATGGCATAACGACTGTGAACTGGCAGTCGGTACTATCTCAATTTTGACAAGATGAAGAAAAAAATTGTTTGCGTCATTTATATAGCATCTGGATTATTAAATAAAAATGCGTAGTTTTTAAGTATTTTTATTACACCTGTATGTATGCACACTACGTATTTTTATGTATTAAACCAGATGCTATATATATATTTTTTTTCCATCCTGTAAAGTTGTCAAAATTGAGATGGTACCGGTTGCCAGTTCACAGTTGATAAGTGGAGTTTGTTGCAGTGATGTTTATTGCTTAATTAGATACAGAAAAATATAACCACATCCTCTCCAATTCTTTTAATTCTATCGACTAATATTCTATTCTATTTTTAAAAAGAAGGATGGCTTCTCTTTTAGAATTTTGCCAATGTCTAGTCAGTCATGGGAGTTACACTTTTATTTATTTTCCAATGTTTAAACATTTAACGCTGCTCTTTAGTCTATTCCAATTCTGAAACAATACAACACGACACAATATAGGTACCATCACCATTAATGATATAAATAAAATAAAAATAAATAGTGTTATAATTTAAGTTTGTTAATACTAATAAAATCAGTAATTAATTTCAGTAGAGGATTTGAAAAGACATATAGCAGAAACTGGAAATTTACGGGACGCGGAATGGACGGTGGAAGACTATCGTAGATGGAACAAGTTCTGGAAGGGCAGCTGAAAAATATATGGTCTGGGGTACCTTCATCTAGGCCACATTCACAAATTGAGTTATCCCGTATTCTAAGTTTTGCCAGATGGACCGGGGTGCAGGCATGACCAAGGCGAAGTCGGCATATCGTAGAAGTTACAGATTTACTGAATCTTTTAAGGTTAAAAAACCAAGGTTTTTTGGGGATACTTATTTGGATATCAGCATAGTACTTGCCCTTGATAAGCTTGATTTTATTCCACTCATTGCTCCATGAGGAAAACATATCATTGGTAGCTAAAGGCAGGAGATCATAGGTATATGTCCTATAATGATTAAGGCAACCTGTTTGGATAGCGTTTTTCGCCAGTATGTCTACGGTTTCATTGCCTTGGATCCCGCTATGACCTGGAATCCACGCCAATACAACCTGAATGTTATTACTATGGCATTGATACAAGACCTCCTTGATCTTCAGGATATTATGGAATTTACTTTTACTAACAAATTGGTTTGCCAGAATAGCCTGTAAACAGCTTTTTGAGTCTGAAAAAATTATACTTTTGTTCAGTTTGTGAGATTCAACATAACTGAGAGCTTCAAGTAGGGCAGTAGATTCTCCTGTGAATATTGATGCCTGAGATGGGCATTTACAGTTCAGAATAATTTCATATTTTGGGATCCATACAGCCGCACCGACACAACCATCAGCAGCCAGCTTGGAAGCATCCGTATACATAGTCAACCAGCCCTGCCAGTCCTTAGCCAAGGCCTTATTAAACTGTCTGTCTGCAGCAGGGGAATCTTTGTAAATACCAAAGTCCAAGATTATCTCAGGTTTAAATATTATTACATCATAAAGACAAGAAAAAAGGGGATTTTTAGCGCATTGGAAAACGGGAGAATTGATTTTGATAAATTTGTGGTAACTTTTAAGAATGCAGGGTATATCTTTGATTTGCCAATATTTAGAAGATCTAGTTAGATCAGACAGTTCGTGAAGCTTGGCCAGAAGAGGGTGAGGAGATAGTTGCGCCACCTTGTACAAAAATCTATCAGCGAGAAACTGCCTTCTTAAAAAGAGAGGGGGTTCCACACACTCAACCTGGAGAGCATTTATTGGTGTAGACTTCATGGCTCCAATGATGAGACGGAGACACTTTGATTGGATTTTGTCCCACAAATTGAGGGCAGTTTTATGACACGGTTCCAATAAAAACGAGCCGTAGTCAAAGTGACTACGGATTATGGCATTGTACAATATTTTTTGACAGAATGGGTGGGAACCCCACCAAGTGCCTGACAGGGAGCGGAGAATATTAATGTTAGTCTCACACTTTTTGGCAATAAAGTTTAAATGAGGGACGCCCGTCAATTTGGAATCTAGTATGAGCCCCAGAAATTTGAAATTGTCAAAGATTGTTATACGCTGGTCTAGGATATTGACTGGAACTTGTGGGGTAAACTTTTTCCGGGAAAAAACCACTACACCACTTTTAGGGGCAGACAAAGAAAGACCATGGTCAGTTAGCCAATCGCCTAAGTACTGTAAAGCAGTATTCAGACGGAGACCGATGTCATCCAGTGACGAGCCGTGGGCATAAATAGTCAGATCATCAGCATATTGGAGGATACTACAAAAACCGCTCACTGATCTTTCCAGATCATACGTATAAATATTGTACAGCAAAGGACTGAGAACAGATCCTTGCGGAAGACCCCTCCAGACGCTCCTTGATGCGACAAAGTTTCCTTGGAAACGAAACAAGCATGTCCTACACGAGAAGAGATTAAAAATGAAATTGGTCAATCTTACCGGGATGCTCAGCTGATGCATTTTTTGCCTGAGCAGGGGAAGAATCACACTATCATAAGCAGCGGAAATATCCAAGAAAACACCAATCAGAGACTCATTCTTTGAGAAGGCCAGGCGAATATCAGAGACCAGGAGGCTTATGCTATCCATAGTGCCGCTACCCTTCCTAAAACCAAACTGGCTTTTAGCTAAAATATCTCTATTTTCCAAGAGCCACTCCAACCGATTTTTAATAAGATGTTCCATGATTTTCGCTAGGGTAGAGGATAACGCAATGGGACGATAGTTGGAAGAGTCTGTAGCATTTTTGCCTGGTTTCAAAATAGGGATAACCACATGCGTCTTCCATTCCTCCGGAGGACACCCTGAGAGGAATATGGAGTTAATAATTTCTAAAAATGTCATCTTAGCAGAAGTCCTCGCATTTTTCAAGAAGGAATATGGTATTCCATCTACTCCTGGGGAGGAGTCCTTAAGTTGGTCCAAAACTAGGAGCAGTTCTGAGAACGAGAATGGGTCATTCATACGATCTGGAGAAGCCAAGGCGGCAGCAAATGCAGAAGCCTCCTCTTGACTGGGGACCCATGGAGGGCATAGCTTGTTCACAAAACCATCGAGCCAACATGAAGGATCGAAGCTGGAGGGATCGTTATTGCGTTGAGAACAGCGAAATCTTTTGATGTTTTTCCAAATGATAGAAGGAGGAGAGCGGGGTGAAATGGTTTCGCAAAACCGCAACCAACCAGATTTTTTCTTCTCTGAAAGAAGCCGTTTGGCTTGGGCCGCTGCATTCTGGTAGTGTAAAAAGTTATTTGTGGTCATAGAGCTGTTATACTGGGTTTCAGCTTCTTTTCGTTTAGTAACAATAGTAGTACACTCGTGATCCCACCATGGAGGGGAGGAGATTAGGCTCCGAGGTGAGTTTTTAAGGGGGATAGAGGCCATTGCGGAAGAATTTATTGATGCTACAAATCTGGAATAGGTTTCTTGAAGGGATAAATCCCCAACACTGGGCAGGGACTGTAGCTCTAAATCCAGACATTGACCATACTTGTCCCAGTCAGCCTTAGAGGTGTTAAATTTTAATAGAGAAGAGTGTTGCTTCGATGGAGTGCAGCTGCTTGTTACAGAAACGAGTATGGGGAAATGATCACTTCCGAAAGTATATGGAAGAGTCCGCCAAGAAGAACTGGGCACTAGGCTTGGAGAGCACAAAGTAATGTCCACAGCTCGTCTTGTATCCTGGAGAGGGAAAGATCTACGTGTCGGAGATCCATCGTTGAGGAAACATATATTAAACTCATCAAAGATGTCTAATAAAAGATAGGAGAATGTGTCATTTTTATAGGAACCCCAAGCAGTGTGGTGACTATTAAAGTCCCCAAAGATCATGAGAGGGGAGGTAATACTAGAAAACAATAGATTAAGCTCAGGAATGAGGGAGTGATGTGGGTGGGGAATATAGACAGACATGAATGAGATATTAAAAGCCCTGACTGCAACAGCATTAATTTCATTAGTATTGTGGTCAGGGAGGGAAATTTTATGGAAAATAATTGAGTGTTTTATTAAGATTAGAGTACCTGCGTACCCATCTGCACGATCCTCTCGGACACATGTATAGCCCGGGATACGGAAAAAGGATCCCGGAACCAGCCACGTCTCCAAGAGGACGATGATAACGGGTTTATATTTATTTATAAGGTATATGAGATCAGGTTTTTTAGGTCTAACACTCCGACAGTTCCACTGCAGAAGGTACAGATCCATTGTAAAATTTATTGACGATAGGGGAAAGTTTATTAAGCACGTGGGACGGTAAATCAGTGTCATCAAAACGGGATAAGATATTTAAAAGTGTAGAAAGTAGTAAATCGAGGAAGTTGTCATTATCTGGTGTATTAGACCTATTTAATAAGGCGGAGCCGTTAGGTAAAGAGGAAGAGGGAGTTGCGATTAATTCCATGTGGGTTTGGTTGTCATAGCCTGAGGTTTGGTGGGGTGGCTTTGGTTTCTGGTTTATTGTTACGGTTTTTCTATATGAAGTGGTGGCTGGACGGGAGGGTTGTGGAAAGGACAATGTGTCAGATGGTATATGTGTGGATGTAGATGCAACGTCGGCGAAAGACCGTCTGACGGCCGGGAAGCGAACAGAGGCTTCTAAGTAAGAGACTTTTTCTTGAGACATCACAAGCTTTATTGACTTTTGCCTTGATAGTTCGGGGCAGTTTTTGTCGTTAGATTGGTGCAAAGCTGAACAGTACAAACATGTTGGGGTGGTTACACTACATGTTTCCCCAGAGTGGGGTTGGGCACATTTATAGCACCGAGGTTTGGACCGACATTGAGCTTTGACGTGGCCAAAGCGGCAGCATTTCAAGCATTGGATGGTGGGGAGGAGATAGCTTTCCACAGGGAGAGAGGAGTAAAACAAGTAAACATGCTGTGGCAAGGACTGGCCAGAGAAAGTGACTACGACTGATTGAGTGGGGATCCACTCAGTAGTATCATTGTGTGACACCTTTCTATTTAGACGGCGGGCTTTAATGATATCACCAGTTCCTGAAGGTAAGACTAGGCTCTCTACTAGTTCGTCCATTGTGAGGTCATTTGGTATACCTCTGATTACTCCCATGCGGGTAATTATGTGGGTGGGGATGATAGCCTTGTAGTCCGCCTGACCGAGGATTGGATTTTGTACAAAATTGTTTGCTTCATGTGCTGAAGCAAATTGCATTGACAGCCTATTGCGACCAACAGCCTTCAGGCTGCCATTTATAATATTTTTAATTTTATTTTTGAATAGAAATTGGCCAAACTTGACAGGTCTTAGTGTTAAACCACTATCTGGGGCAGACTCCAAACGTGAGACTTGAACTACAAATGGACCTTTATCATTAGTAGAATAAATTTTCTTTTCCTCGGCATTGGGGTGCGTATAAATGGTTTGTATAGATGCCGATGGGGTTACAAATTCAGTAACGAGTTTTTTTGGGGTACTGTTATCAGTTTCTGCTATACAGCTTTTCCGTTTACTACCAGATATTGTAGGAGTAATCGACGTAAAAAGGTCGGGGGATGGCGGCAGCGGCCCCGACTCCCCGGATATATCCGGAGGGTCAGTACCGCCTCCTTCAACCTCCATATCAGACATAAAACTACATATAATTTACCTTCACCACGCAAAACACACACAACACAATAAACGGCACGCACAGATATGGGAAATCTACAGAAATAAACAAATTCGCAGTTCAGAGAGTAAGAAAAGGGTCAACAAAATCTTTAGCAAAAAAAAGAGCACGTGTATCTTCCAATCACTCTGACCGAATCTGTTTTCTCGACTAATATTGTAGATAGGGTTAAATGTTTGGCTGTCTGTGATGTGTCTTTGTAACACAGCTGCATTTAGAATGTGCTAAAATTCATTATGGATAAAACAAAACTTTTTATTGGCTAAAATTCACACGTGAAAAAAAATTAAACCCCTTATATGTATGAATTAAGTTGTTTTGAGATACGCCGCTATTCCTGGAAGCCATCGATATATTGAAATACCAACATCGCGAATGGGATATAATATCGTTACTGTCTTTGTATATAATTACCCTATTTGTCTTACTATATACTATGCTTTTTACCTTCATGTTAGGGACAAGTCCGGCCAGCGTAATGCACATTCTCGTACAAAATAAACACTAATTGCAAACGCCTTCTAGGCCCAAAAATAACCTATTTATATTTGTCACAATTGAACAAATTACTTGTGCGCAATGTACGCCAGATTTGTCACTAGAATTTTCTTTTTTTTTTGAGCATGTTTCTCTTATAAATCTTGCATGACGCTTGTCTCCCAAAAAGTTCCTTTACCTAGCGTCGGGCAGAAACACCAGACGGAAGATCCGACTGTACATCCCTTAAGTGTGAAACATAGAGAGCGGGTGCGAGTCGGGCGCGTGTCGGGTTGGGAACACGGCGGGTCTAATTCCTTGTATTTATGTGGACGACAACACCACGCGCGGGCGCGGAATAAATGCAGGTCGAGTCCCGTGCGGCTCTCGTGCTGTGTTGTCGTCCATATAAATACACGGAATTACACCCGCCGGGCTTGACCCGACACGCACCCGCTCTGTGTTTGACGCTTTACTGTCACATAACGATTGCAGCGAACATTAAGAAGTGCATGTCGAAGATCGCTCATATTATCAAATTATGTTAAGTCACCCACTGCGATGAACTGTCTGGTGGACCGCCTAATATCCGAAGAATCCTCTGCTTTCAAGTACACATACTTTTAGAAATAAATAAATAAAACGGCCACATGAAGACTAACATGTCGAAATTTTCGCCTTCCATGCAGAATACCATAAATCATAGTTTTTATAGTCGTCTTTACGATTTTCCGCTTTGCCGTACCCGCCCGCGCCTGGGCATCGTCTTTTTGTTTATTTTTAACCATTCTCTTATTTTTAAGTTATTGTTGTTAACATTTTATGGCAAGTAATTTTTGTACAAATGACTTGTGCCATGCAAATTGGCGATCAACGTAATGCCGATTTTATGTACCTGTGACGACATACTTGCATGCAAGTTGCAATGTTTCATAAAAGCTAAAATGCACAGGCCCGTACCAGGGATATCTTCGACCTCTTTACACGTACTGGTCACTTTGTATATGTGTGCTACGAGCATGCAAATGTGCTTACAAGCTTTTGTATTCGGACCTTAATGCTTTTCTTTGTGATAAACTTACACCGCTAGTAATGCTCAAAATGATATTTATAGGTCTACCAGAATATCATGGCACAATATAATCGAACTGTATATTATCAATGGACACATTGCTTTTTTTTTTCATTATTAGAAGTGTCAGAAATTACGTATGTTTCTCTTGTACACATATTTATACAGATCTTAAAAAGCAGAAGAGTATAGAATAAAATTTTGGTCAATTAAACTGTATATTATAATGTATCTAGAATATTTTTTTCATCATATTCATGCTGCCCACTACTCATTTTAAATAATACACATACAAAATGCGTTGTCTCTCAGAAAGGTCTATAAGTAGTTACTATTCATGTAATAATATAACAAGTTCCTTAGTGAGAGCTGGAGTGTGTACTAGGTTGGGAGGACCTATGTTACAGATCACCAGGCTCTCTCTAGGTGTATAAAGAACGTATAACGTTTGTCTGAATGCCATTAAATTCTGGTACAATTAAACAAAAAAAAAATACAAAGCGATTACGTGTCTTGTAAAAATACCAAAGTGGTCAAGGCATAACTTGTATGCTATATATTCCTAGATGTTTTTACTTTTTCTTCATAAAATACCAAAGTGGTCAAGAAATAACGTGGGTGCTATATTTTTCTGAAATACCAAAATAGCACTGTGTACAAAGTGAATAGTTAGGCACAACTTGATGTTATAATTTGCTAAAATGTTGTTTTTACTTTTTTTTTCAGGACCAGTTCCAAGAAGCGCCAATAATAAGGTGAGTTTCCTAGTTGTTCTGGATCTAAAATCGGGCGCAAAAGAATGAAGATAAAAACTCCAGCAAAAATAGAAAATAACCACAAAATGTGTCCAGTTACATCAAGTACACAATTTATTATAACTAATTTAGATTAATTTAAATCTAACATTTTTCTTTAATTTTATGGACCAAAACTTAAAAACTGTTCCAGATAATTTTACTGTGTAAAAAAATAACCGAAGAATCCATTGTTGGCAAAAAATTTACAAAAATAAATTGTTTAAAAAAGAAGTTGCGATGTAAAATAATTAAACCAAGCATGCAATATAACAACAGCGCGTTGTTTCTTTTCTCATAGAAGATTTCCGTAATAGAAGATTTAGAGTATTGTTGTAGTTTTTGTGAACAAAAACAATTATTCTTAAAACCATTGAAATCTTTGTGTAATTATGTCGATTTTTTAAAATAAGATAAGAAATAAATATTTTCAACATGTTTTGATTTCTCATGTAAAAGCGAGACGCAGTTAGATTTAAACACACTTTCGTTGAAGCCTAAAATTTATTTAAAATTTAACTAAAATGTTTAAAATGGCTTCTTTTCACGTATAGGTGTTAAAACATGTTGAATCTTTAAATGTATTACATTTTTGTGTGACTATGAATGGAATAAATAAACTTAAAAATATAAATAACGATGTTTAATTCGGAGCATAAAATTACAAATCCCGAAAATATAAATAATTTAGACCTTTTTTAATTGGGTTTTCTAATTTACCATTCCACTAGCGTAACGCCTTATCTTATTTAGTATCTATGCTAATTGAGGCTAAAGACCATTTTGTGTCAAATGGTAGATAACGTATATCTGTGCCACCAAAAATCAAGTGGTACGTTGTCTTGCGTGACTGAATACCAAAATGGTCACATGCCATATCAAATTATTGATGTAGTAGTCTTCATTGCTTCATCGCTATGTAAAAACTTATCAGAGTGGTCGATTTCATGTGGATTTAATACACTTAAAATACGCAACAATATAGTATTGGTCAAATGTTAATAATATCTGCGTGGTCACGTCTCTAAATAATATCAATGTGGTCGCCCACACACCTTACATAATATTAAGGGATTTGTTGAATCGCCTGTTATGTTTAAAAGACCCGAGGGGTCATGTACATAAAAAACCAAAGTGGTCTCGGACCACTAAACCTACAGCTAAACGTAATGGTAAGCAAATACATGTCAAAACACATGGGCAAATGGAGAAGTATCACGTTTGTGTAACCAATTACAAAAAACTTTAAAAATGCAGTGAAGTAATTGTATAAACAAAGGCATAATTTCCAGATAATTTTATACAAAAAGTCTGAAATAATTATACACAAAAGGGAACAGTTTCAAAAATAGACAAAAATTTACAGAATCCTAAACCAAGTGAAATCTTGAAAATGAGTGGAAGTGTTATTTATATACTACTAATATAAAGTATATAATATTTAAAGCTGTTCAAGCCAAATGAAAATGAATGGACTTCAGCAATCGACTCAAAATCAAGGGCGGCTTTTCATGGCAGCATTAAAATGGTGAGTTTCTATAATAGTATCTATCCTTAGTGATAACTTTGTTGCACACATTGTAAAATTATTTTTTCAATTCTAGAGCAAGGGCTAAGACTGGCGTTCGTTCGTTCACATTATACATATAGTAGATAGATAAAAGATTAGAGCAGTGGACACATTGACTTACAAATAAATGGACGACGGGTCTAATACAAAAACCACGAAAAAAATGTCCCAAGTCAACCTATTCGAAATTTAAATTGTTATGTCATCGCAGTATCGCGCTGTCCGTAGAACAAATGAAGACTAAAGCGGAGTGTCGCGCTCTGTATACGATTTTAGCGCCTTACAAGTGCGGACACTTTTTAGCGCGGACCCGACGTCCATATAATTGTAAGTCAATGAGTGGACAGTAATGAATTTTCACACTTGGGTACTTTGCAGGCCCTGTCTGGGAAGAAGTCGCACGGTCCATGATGACTAACTTTCCGTGTTTGTTTTTTTGAAAGTAATGCAAATATTTCCTAACATGTTTGAGAAAAAAAATATTTGTCGCCTCTGTGTATGCATGTAAGGTAGAAATGCAGCCCAACATCTACAAGATGCTGAATCGCAAAGTAATAATGTATGCAACAAAATTTCACATCAAGCATATTGTAAATCCGTATTATAATAATAGGTATCTGCTTCGGGATTAACTTACTGTCTAGTCATGTTCTGTGATATTTTTTAAATAAAACTAATAAGAAATTAAACATGTTGGTTTTCTTTACCGTCCCTATTAAATAAGAAACATTTATAGTGTACATATACTTTATTAGTGTCGATTATCATAAAATAAATAGTCAACAAGCCACATTATACTTAGATAATAAATCGTAAAATAAAAATTTCTCCTTACATCGCTAAATTTAAAAAAAAACAAATGCTACTTGTTAGGTTCAATTACATAGGTACGTAAATGACTGATTATAGTAATTTAAAATTGAATTGCCGCTTCAGCTAGCGACAGAATAATGGGTGTCTTTTACACTTAAACAAGAGAAACCACTAGAATATTATCAAATTACCAAGTCTGCTAGGTGCACTTTGCAGTAAATTAAGTTGCTGGGTGCACTTTGTAGTAAATAAGTTTAGAAGTCTACTGGGTGCACTTTGCTGTACTTACTCGTGTAAAATATAAATTTGCTTCTGAATATGTAGTTGTTTGTGTTGTTGAGAATGGTTAATGACCAATCACATGGGTAATAAAGACATACATTGATATGACAATTGTGTACTTCATCTGAACATCAATTGAGCTGCTTTGTTAAATTGGGGAGTTCAATGACATTTTTTTTACAAGTCTGTTATGGCTGTAAATGACAAAGGTGTTTAGTCCGTGGTGTTTTGTATGACGATTAGTATAAATTCTCTGTCTGGAGCAATGAGTATCTCATGTCTTCTACTCCTAACGCGTAGGAATGTCAGCTCGTTTGTAGAGTCCTGGAAAAGGATCAATGTTTAAAATTAAAATAACAGAAAAATAAAGAGGACTTATAAATTTAGTAAGTAGGTACCTAATTTGCTTGTTTATAGGTACTGTTTTTTTTTTCATTAGACAGAAGGAAATGTCGGGTCTTACATCAGGCATCATTTCATTGTCATTTTCGAAGCTAAGCATTTAATTAAAAATAAATAAATAGCGTGAAACAAAATTCTCAAAATTTTTCTAATCAGTAATTGTCAAGTTTTCTTGCTCGTGGGACTCGCTGCCTACTTAATCTATTTAATGCACTATAAAAAAACCTAACGATACAGAGCTTCCAAACATTAAACAGAAACTTATAAAATAACGAGCCCTGTACCCGGTTAGGCTCGGCCTGCGGCGCGTGGTCTGTTTCAGTTTACGGTGTGTTTCGGTGGCACAGCAGTTAGTACTATGGGCGCTTGATGAGCAGGTCGATTCCCGATTTATGCCAATTTAAGAAACTAAAATTTCTAAGTTGGTTTTGGTCTGAGTATTCTGGGTTATCGTTTATTTGGTATTCATAGTACCTCCATAGTACAGGAAATTTTCAGTCGAATTAGAAGAAATTTTTATCTTCCGCTGAAAAAGTTTGTATGACAGCCATATTGAAAGATGGCGAAAAATACATTTTGACCGCTAGTTATTATTAAACACTCAGAGACCCCGACATATCCACTTTCAATCGAAATACAGCAAATTTTTATCTGGCGCTAAAAAAAGTTTGTATTGCAGCCATATTGAAAAAAGGAGAAAAATAAATTTCGACCGCAAATTACTATCAAACACCTATAGAGATCCCCACATATCGATTTTCAGTTGAATTAAAGCTTATTTTTATTAGTTGTTGAATGGCGGCCATATTAAAAAATGGCGTAAAACCATTTTGGATCACAAATTATTATCAAGCACTCCTAGAAACCCACACGTGCCAATTTTCAAAGGATCAGAGCATTTTTTTTCTGCCGCCAACGAACGCTTCTATGGCGGCCATATTTGAAAATGGCGAAAAACCAATTTTGACCACAAATTATTATTCGGCACTTCTAGAGGCCTCCGCATGCCAATTTTCAGCGCAATTCCGTTTCGGCAGCCACTTTCGATGAAAAGAAACTTGACCCCAAATTATGGTTAAGGACTCCTAAAGATGATGATGCAGGGGGCATACCAATTTTCAGCTGGATCGAAGCAAGTTTTTCTTCGGTCGCCGTTTTGAATTAGCCACCTTGTTTTTTTTAACCCAGGCAGTTGAGCACTATTAATCTCTACGACATTCCTTCGAGCACCTCCTAACTATATCTAATAGTTTCCGTGATAGGAGACTTTGAGTATGGCTATGGATATGGATAATAAGATGGCCATCTTATTTATTTGAATTTCGAACATTTTTTACTTCCGGCGGAAATTGACCAGGGTGTACCTCATAAAAGTGCACAAATATTCCCTCCATAGATTATAGTTTTTGCAGGCCGTTGATCACTCTTTCATATTTTCCACATTTAGGTCTTCTCATATTTGATTCTTTGCTTTGGAATCTATCCGCGCGTACAACGGTACAAATATCTTTTTTTCACCATATCGGGAAGTATGCGTTCTATTTCTATCAGTGAGAACTTGTAGCTTTATATATAATAATAATAACATATTGTGCCAGTGTCATTTGTCATGATTTCTGACGATGTTTCCTTTACTGTCATTTGTTGAAAAAAAGGTTTGTAATCCCTTCTTTGTTTACGTTTTTTCTAATTTCTAAAGAATTTAGTAAAGTGGGGTAACAAAGACTGAGGGTTAGCAAAAGGTTAGGCGCTACATAGGATAGAAAGCTTTACTACACCAACAACAGCCAGAAAGAGAAGTAGAATCCTGAATGACAAAAACACAGGTTTCGTTACCTAGGGTACATCAGCTGTCTGATTGAACTATAAAAAAATTACACAGACATTGCATAGACAATATAAAAGGTGTGGCCCTTATTTGTTATATTATGTACAGTTTTAACAAAAGCAAATACCTACATTAAAAAATAATAAACATTCACTGCTATCAATGCAATAGCTTGACTTAAATGACAATTGTAGGTGTGGCTATGGTCAGAATCTGCGCCTTTCACATGACCCAATGCTCAAGATTTGTATATGTTTATATTGCAAAAAAAAACAAAGCAACTAATTAATAGATTTTTTTTAATAAAAATGGAAGTAGGTTTATTTGCTAGGTCCTCAGCGAACCCAGTGAAGGTGAACTTTCAGAGTTCGTAAAGTAGCAAATTAGGTAATTTTCCTTACAGCCAAGTCTCCATAATGGTAGTACAAAGGAATAAAGGTTATTTAGGTAGTTAGATAAAGAATTTGAGATACAATCTTGTGTTGAATTTTTTTACATTCTTCCGCCGTGCTCAACGCTCAACAAGTACTGGGAATGCCTCATACAGAGGCGAAACACGGTGTCGGGACTTGTTTTGATGGAGGTGTTTGCGACTGTTGTTGCGCTTGAGTTATTTATTTTATTAATTTTTCTGCAGAGGGAGGTTGGGAAAAACAACTGCATGCAAAAATATGCAACAAAGTGCAGCTATTTTGCACAATTTTGTTCAACCTCCACTCGCTTGATGGAATAGCAAATTATTTTCTTCCATCTTCATTAAGCACTGTATAGTCAAGTCGAGTATAGTCTATTCTATAATGGTAGTTCAAAGGAACAAAAGTTATTCAGGTAGTTGCAGATCTTGAGCCCACTTCATTTCTTCAGAAAGACTCAAGATCTGTTTTAACAATTTGATAATGATAACACAGAAGCGTCTTGATTAAATTCATGCTATATCTACAACTAAACTGATCTCTATATCTTTGTGGAAGAGCTTTCTTAGTACTAATAGTGTGCCAAACAACCACAGAAATCGTCTCAAACTGAGGAAGTCCCTGTATTGAGAGCCAGAGCACACAAATTGAAACCAATTTAGAGAATTTAAATTCCCAAATTAGTCTTAGCGGGAAGTAAACCTGGGACCTCCTCATCCAGCGCCCACAGGACAAATAGTTGACCCTACGAAGTTCTTCATAAGAGGGTAACTCCAGTGCTGTGAAAAGTTTTCTGTTTAATTGAATTTATTTAAAATTACCATTTCTCGAACAACATTCCTAGCTTTCTCAGTCAGCTGCCCAATGAGTCCTGAATACAGCACGGAAGTTGCATTGTCCAGAGAACTTTTAATCGGAATACCTGAAATAATAGAAAGCGACGTGAATATTCGAACCTATTCGAGCAAAGGTTTCAAAAAATCAATAGCTTTAGGTGGGTTAATTACTATGTGCCTGGTACGGAATGGTCCCAAAAAGGTCTGCAGTGAGAAAATCAGCTAGTAACCATGGAAATAAGAATAAAATTGTACAAACCTTCGTGGTTGACTATGATGACACCCATAACACCTTTGTGGGCTTGGATTCTCTTGATAGTCTCCTCAACTTCTGTAGCCTGAAATTAAACACAAGTACTTTCATTTATCTGCAACATGATCACAAGTAAAACACTGGAAGTTATGAATAAATACCATTTTTTAGAATTTTTCAACGGAAATCAACAAACTAGTTGGCGGACTGAATGAATGATAAATTGAACGAATGATGACGAATATGGCTGTCAAAAGGTATAGAAGTGTGATAATAGATGGCGTAACCAAAATTAGTACCGCTATTACATAATAGATGGCGTTAAGCTAATAGTTTTGTTATATGACAGTAGATGGCAGGATGACACGTATTTTGTTTATAATTATTTGGCAGCGCTGAGGTTCGTATTCCAGAACTCTACAGGACTTGAGTATGATTTCAAGCACTGGAAATGTAACCCTAATGGCAAGGACTAGAGTACGATTTTTAGAGCTTTAAATTATACTCAAGTCCTGACTTGAGGATTGAGCAGAGTTCTGGAATACGACGACATTCAGTCTTGTCAACACGGTCTGTCCCATCTTGTTCGAATATAACGACTGAAATCTGGGATTTGGGAAAGAATAGGAATTGTTTCGGGCTATGAAGGATATGAAACGTAATCCGTGAGAAATTTTATCAAAAATTGTAAACACGGAGAACTTTTATGAAAGAATTTAAACATTTTCTATACTATTTTGTGCTTTTTCGAATACACTTGTTCATATTTACATTATTTTATTCTTCACATTTTGCATTAGGTACACGTATATATTTAAAAAAATTAAATGCAAATTTTCTCAGCAACAGTGTTGTTCTCTGGTGTTGTCATACCTGTTTGAAGTTGTTTATTTAAGTTTATTTTACAATTCGACAAAGAAAATAGATACCTATAATAATAAATAGATTTATTTGTATACTATACCTCGCGCGTTCGTAAGTTTTGAGACAAACTTTGATTTTGTTCTATTTATAGGTATTTGTTCCCTCAAAACAGTTCGCTACATAAAGTGACGTAAATTGTTTTGGAGTAAGCCGGAACTTTGTATATTACACGATAAAACCAAAAGATCGCCAAAGGAGTGGTCACGCCAAAGGACGACTGCGAATATCAAAATAATCAGAGAGCGACTTCGCCGAAATCCATGTCGCACCCAGAAGAAACTCGCTTTGCAGACTAACATTTCGCGTGTTTCGGTCAACAGAATAGTGAAATTCGATCTCAAGGCCTACAGTCGTAGGAAAGTTCACTTCCTCAATGACCGCATTCGTAAACTACGACGCGAAGATTCTCCGATGCTGCTCAGGAGACACGTGTCGAAAAGATACCTATGCTTCACTGACGAAAAATTTTCACGATCGAAAAAAAGTCCTGCCGACAAAACAACAAATTTTATGCCAAAAGCAGTAAAGATGTTCTAGCTTCAGCACAAAATGTTTCGCGTAGTCATTATGCTGTGAATGTGATTCTATGGTAGAGGGTTTCGAATGAAGGTGTCACTCCGCTCCATTTTTACCAACAAGGCGTTAAGGTGAAACTAAATCAGTATTACAGAGTACTAAAAAACCGACCTCAAAAGTCGTTCATCCCTTAGTTTGCCAGCGACCAAAACAAAAAAGAATCATTAAAATCGGTTCACAAATGCCGTAATGCCGGTTCACAAAAAACCGTCGAATTGGGAACTCCTCCTTTTTCAAGTCGGTTAAAAATGATCAGTTACATTTTAGAGACTATTCTCTGTCGGCGAAATTGGAGATCCCGGCCTGCCAATAGTCCCACCTAAACTTGGATTTTATAAAGCGGGCTCTCATCAAATAAGCGAACAGAATCCCACTGGGGAAATTCGTGGGACCCATGATTGGCCAGAACGTCTATTCCTGTATTAGAGGCGGTAATTTTGAGTAATAATTACTGATAGTTGGTTAGCGCCTACTTATCATTATCTGAAAATGTTAAAAATATAACTTAAATAATATTCTTTAAACTTTTACTTAGTCCCAAAACTTGAGAACACACGAATGATAATATAAAAAAACAGTTTATTAGCTATAATAAAATTTTATATTTGAGTAAAAGTGCGTTCATTATCCTGCAATGCAGTCCGTCTAGCCGTCCACCGCGTAATGCAGGATTATGTTTGAATGTATCTGCAGCGAGCAAACCATCCTGCAATGCGTCTTGCGAGACTCCAAACGTGGGCCATATGCAGGATAGTGTGAGAGCAGTCTCCTGGGCATTTTAGAGTGCTGGCTGGTAACGTTCAATCGTGCATCTCACTCGAACTTGTACTAAAAGCAGTGAAAGAAAGATTGCTAATGATCCCGTTTGTCCCGTAAGCACCGTCGTCTCACGTCTATGAGCAGTTTAAAACAGGTAAATTATGAAGATCATCTTGCGTCTGTGATTCCTCAACGCAGACAGTTCTTCTTTCACAGACAGGAGAATAAGATCTTGCAAAGGAACAAGTTCTGCGATCCGTGTCGGATAAGTTCACGAACTAGTCATTCAAGCCTACATCCATTCATTCACCAGCTGTCAGGTACAGTTTTTTGCACAGAATGATGCAGGCGAGATGTGTAATTTTACTTTGCGGTTTCTTCTAATTGGCGCTAGTTAAATTCAATACTGTGATGTTTCCGACCCGGTAAAAAGTTCAAAACTGTAAAGAAAACCTAGAAATGGCTATGTATTGTATGTAAGTGTAGGAAAAATGTGTGTTTTGTGAGAGAACAATGAATGATAGCGGGGCGGAAACTTCCGAAGCTTTGGATCCTAGAGTGCAGGTGAAGATAATCAATATTATTTAGTGAATATGACTGACATGAACTTAGCAAGTTTCCTGTACGGAGGCTTGACCTTAAAGGGTCTAAGGCCAAGCCCCCAGTTTGATGAAAATAAGTTGTAAACACTTTGAATCGATATTGTGATTTCTGTCAACAATTATTTTTACGAGAATCGTATTATTTCATTTAATAATTATCAGATATTTTCTGACATGGTTTGTTTAACGTTGCAATGGTAGAAAACTAAATAAACTTTATAGAATAATAAATCCTGCCAGAAAATATTGAAACCGCGTTATATTGCGTGAAAATAAATGAAATAATCTACTCGATAAAATGATAATAGGTGATTAATAATTGTACTTTTTAAATCCTATATTAACACTAATATTGTCCAAATCACATATGTATTTTTAAAATTTAGATTATTTTATTAGAAGTAAGAAACAGTTTACATTCAGGGATTCCTATCTCTGAAATACAATTTGTTATCTACAATGTAAACCTAAGACATTTTTATACAGCATTATTATGCAAAGTGTAAATATATTGGCATAAAAAGGGAGATATTGAATTTAAAGTAATGGGAAGAAAGACATATATACAGGGTGTCCCAAAACTCAATGATAACCTGAGAACAGGATGTTGCCTAGTTTGTAACAACCCAGAAAGAAAGTATTTAAAAAAATCTGAGTCATTTTTTTTGTGATACAAGCATTTTAAAGAAAAATTTTGAAAATGTACACCATTTTTAAGTACTACAATTACAAATTTGCTAATTTTGCAGTTTTAGTTTTTGTAACAGTATCCTAAATAGCCCAGCTAATGAACACAATGCCAAAAAACACCCAAATTGCTAAAGTTTCAGCACAAAAAATAATGTATTTAATCTTTTTCTTGAAATTTTTAGCAGATTTTTTTTCAAGGTAACTTTCACAACCCATACTGTAAAAAAATGTACCTAGGCTACCACGGCAACTTCTTACAAAAGTTGGCGCATATTATCAAGATTAAAATGAAAATGAAAATGAAACCTTATAAAACCTTCTACATCATGCTTCTTGGAAAAAGAATAATTTTGGTTTTTCTAAACAGAGGCCAATTTAAAAAGGTTACCTTTTCTAAGTAAAAAATCATACGTTTCATATCCATGTAGTCGGAGGTAGACTGACTAATAAAAATGGTAAACATGATTGAGTGAGGCAAATGGTCTCAAAATTCCACATTTCTCGGCAGATGTACGAATTTAAATAAAAGTAATGTATAAATTATTATAATTTTATTACAGACTACAGCATATACTCAAACTGTTTCCACTGGCATCAATACTTGCAAGGCAATGCCTTACAAATGGCCTTTTCACCAATCGTGCATGTCGTCATAAATTTATCTGTTGTGCAGCTTCCGTGACTCTTCGTCGTAATTCGGCAACATTTGATATCGGCTTTCAACCACGATCCACAATCCCAGTAAAAAAGTCTTCAAAAGGTTCAAATCTGGAGAACGGGAGAACAAAGTTCTTTTTGATTAAATTGGCTATTACGAATCAGCCTGTAATACTGTTGATTCATCAAATAAATAACATTACCTACTTAAGTCTTTACTTAACTTATACCACCCAGATGTGGAAACCAAGACGCAATTTAATGTCCTGACTCCCATAATTATAATATTTTAGCCCTTTTCTGTTATTTTATATTTATTTAATTATATTATTGATGTATGGTGTAATGGGCTGGTAACCATGCCTGTGGTGGGTGCGGCGTCCTACTCATTCCACCCAAGCTCTTCCAAGAATATCAGAATTCTAATATTATTGATTATATTATTATAGACTGCTTTACAAAGCTATTACAAACTGCCTCCGTGGCCGAACGGTTACCATGCCGGACTGCCACGCAGAGGTCCCAGGTTCGATTCCCGGGCCGGGAGAAATAGTCGTATGGTCTACAATTATTTCTCTCGTGAGTTTGGGTGTAATTTGTGGTTGTCTATGTGTGTGTCCATGGCACCCGCGACACAGGGTTTCTCTAGAGCGGGGCTATGTTGAGTGTGTGCGTTAAAAAAAAAAAATAGATTGCACAAATTCGAAATAATTTTCTGACAAAAATTTTACTTTTATGAAAGCATTTAATACAGTTTATTATTTTATAATATTTAGTAAAGGATAGTACTTAGAGGCACTTAAGCCTTAATAAAAGTTTCTACATCAATCAGAAAATCTAATATTTTACCAACTGGATTTTACCAGCAAGGACTTGTTAGTACTAACTTCTATACAAGGCTACATCAGTCATTCTCACATCACAGTATTTATGGAAATGAGTCATAAGCATTTGTAGATGTTGCTAACATAACAATCATCAAGATTACGTGAGGTAATATTCAACATAACGGTTAATAAATAACTGGGTTAAAACATTATCTAAATATATATATATATATATATTATTGATAATAATAATTATCACATGTCAGACCAGGACAACCACGCCAATTACCTGGTCTCAAGCTAGGAATTTTCTGTACTCACGTACAGTTTGATACCAGGCATGATGAGAGAGACACTTAAAATTAGAACCTGTTAAGAAAATTTCGTTTTTCAAATTGGTCATTATCAATTTTTTTTATATTATCAAGTGACGGGACGAACAAGTCGTGCACCTGGTAAGCTACACGTCGGTGCATGACATTGCAGTGCCACTCAATAGCTTTAAATAGTCACAATCATCATCTCAAAAATGGTCTCATTCAAGCACTTTATTTACAAGTTTAACATTAGATACAAGTTTCTTACCTCAACAAGCTTTGTTGGGCATTGACTTCAATATTTAGTGAATAAATGATTTAGTGAAGAAATGAATTATTTAAATAAATAAATTATAAGTATACCTACAGTAGAGCGCCTATTTAGTAAATAAATAATGGGATGTTATTTAAAACATAGTACATTGTATATTAAGGGCAGTAAATAAGGAATTACAAACGAGACTATTATTATTTCGGAGTCGATGTTCGTAATTCCCGTACCGCCCGTGAAACATACAATATATTTCGTCACACTTGCACGTAAATATTATGGTTGCATGCAGGCTAAGTTGATTATAATGCCCCAAATAAAACCCTCGGGCCTTTTTTCTTCCCATTACAGCCATAGTGGGTAATGAGTATTTTTTAATTTGCAGATAAAACTCATTACCGACCATGGCTGTAATGAGAAGAAAAAAGGCCCGAGGATTTGTTTGAGGGCATTATAGTCAAGTTAGCTTGCATGCAATCATACTATTTACGTAACAACTGTTATGAATAGGCATGTCGCTTATCACCAGGCGTGTAAGGCTTTCCATATAGGTGCAATAAGTTTCTTCAGTAGAGAAATTAACTTTTTTTAGAGCCCCAAACACTTAATATCGTATACAGCATACTCCCTTGAACCATTAAAAACTTAAGAAGTGATAATAATTAAAACTATGACCTTTTATTTTTTTTAGTGGAAGTACGCGCCATGATGAATTAGAGACGCTTTCTTACGTGCGCTTCTTGTGGAAAGCCATAATTCATTACGTAATGGAAACAAAATACGATTTTTTTAGTAGTTTAAACTTATACGGTAGCTGGAAAGGCGTATTTCATTTGTCGATTCGAAGGGATATCACTTATGGCGCATTTATGCCTCCTGCCTCCCTGATGCGTCGCGTGCGTGTTAGTTCCAACAGCCTTATTCGCCTAATTTGGGAGGACCCTGCTTGCGCTTTATGGAAACACTGGGACTCGCTTCACATGGGTTCCAGGGGCTTGGTGTATAATTTAATGTGATAACATGAAAATTTTATGTAATTTTATTATTCAATTTTAGATTTAATTTAATATTTAATTTCCACTCATATATTCTTTTTTAATTAATTTCTCAATTTGGAATTTTGATACAGTTTTAATAATTTGTCTTACTAACATAGGCTATAAGCTGTTTGTTACTAACATGATATGGACTATGTCCGAAATAAAAATTTTGAATTTGAATTTGAATTTGAATATGCTCTGGCCACACAGAGGCGGCCGCGGGAGCGTTCCGGGCGCGGGAATTTTTATATAAACCTTGAGTTCATATAAACCTTCCCACATTGAAAACGCGCGACTGACGCGCTGCCGCCGGTATAGGTTCAAATGAACTTGTACATACATACCGTTGTCAAACGACTCACTTGTTTGCCGCCTTGGGCGGGCAAGCAGTCGCCTAACAACTTGGTTTAAATGGCGGTATAACTCTTCTCTCCTTGGGGCGTAATGTATATGGAAATCCATATACGCTTATTAATATAATAAAAATCTGTTTCTTTTATCTCAATGTTTATATTTCTTGAAATAAATATGAAGTTCCCAACCCTACACTGGGGTGACATTGTAAACTATGGTCACAGCAGTAGGGTGTATATGTGTTGTGTACATTTAAACTGTGTCAAAAGTAGTAGTTTTGTTAATAAAACTGGTTCACTTTTGTTTACAGATAGAATTGGAACGTCTGAACTCGGCAACAGATGAGATCAACCGGCTTGAAGTTGAATTAGACGAGGCTCGTCTTGCGTTCAGACGACTCCTGGCTGAAGGTCATTTACGGATTCAGCAGCTCACAAAGAAGTTGGGAAATAGTGTGCACAAGGCTAGACCGTATTATGAGGCTAGATTTCGAGCTAACATTGTGAGTACCTTCGACCTCTAATTTTAAGGTTTTATACAGGGAGTTTTTTAATTATGGCCATGCAATGTAAAAGCATTTAAATGGATCATCTCTGTGAGTTAGGTAGAAGGCGAATTAGCAATTTGAATAGGTACATTGGCAGTTTCAAGTTTGTTTCCTTTTTGAAGAAATTGTGTAATAGAATTGTGTTCCTTAAAATAAGATAATAGATTATTTGTAAAGAATAGATCTTTATAATAGACGCTTTCCATCGGCATAATAAAAATACAAGTGTTTTTATTCACATTTGGTCTATTTCCCATTTTTTAAAAGCGTATAAATACAGTATTTATTTACTTGTAACTTTTTTTTATAAACAAAAAAGACCTCAAAAGTTCGTGGAATTACATCTATTTGCCAAGTTTTATTGAAATCGGTTACCGGAAAGTGCGCGAAACCGGATTCATCACCTAGTTTTCAACATATGAGATAATATTATTTTCCCCTTTTTAAATTCCCTCAAATTTCAAAAGCCAAAAAAAAAAAATGATAGAAATCGGTTCACAAATAGTAATAATACAAATGGTAATCGCGTAACATCATACAAAAAATACAGTCCAAGTGAGAATCTGCTCCTTTTTTTGAAGTCGATGATAAAATTATGTCTCTTTAGGCGGTTGAAGCATCGTGTTGGAACGGTTAACCAATCTAGGCACCACGTTACCGTGGCTAGCCGTTACCGGTGGCGCCGCGTGGAGGCTCTTTCCGTGCACCCAATGTCTATTATTAATACTGTATATTATTTACTTTTAAAAATAAAATAATGTCACCACAAAGCTAAATATCCTATCTACAATACTTAAAGTACTTTCCCTCCTTAATCCATACCTGTGGTACACCCTGTATATACTCATGGACCACTAAAAAAAAAGGTTGAATTATGATAATGCGTTCATATGACTGGCCACATATACCACGGGCCTTACCATGAACTCTTATTACGATTCACTTTAGGACCTAAAATAAATCGCGAGACAGCGCTACATGAAGTGTTATATCACCATTCCGCTTTTTTGTGGTTACGAACCTATACTGAACTGTAATAAGAGTTCATGGTAAGGCCCCAGAAGGTTAAGTACAAGCTCAGCCTGCTGGGGATGAGCATCCGGAAGGACATGAGCAACAAAGATTATATCGAGAGAGTCATCTGTACCGCGTCGCGCAAGCTTGGCATCCTGAACAAGGTGCACCGATTTTTTACTCCAGAGCTGCGATACCTGTTGTATAAAGCTCAGGTCCGAAGCAGCATGGAGTACTGTTCGCACCTTTGGGACGGCTCTGCCAAGTACTTGCTCGATGCCCTAGATGGACTGCAACGCTACGCCTTCCGTGTTGTCAACGATCCTCATGTAACTGAGCATGCGGAGTCGTTACAGCTTCGCAGAGATATAGCGTCTCTTAGCGTATTCTATCGCCTGTACCACGGTGAGTGCTCTGAAGAGTTATTCAACCTTATCCCTTCCTCTCCTTTCCATCAGCGGACCACCCGTGCCGGACTGCGTTGCCACAGATGGACGGTCAGTTCAATACCGTCCCGCACTAAAAAGTTTGGCAATTCGTTTTTATGCCGAACCATCAAATTGTGGAACCAACTCCCGGCGCATGTATTCCCTCCCCTCTATAACATCGGGTCCTTCAAACGTAGTGTGTAGAAGCATTTGGCCAGACCGGCAAAATGATAGTGACGGAGTGAAGATATTTGTGTTTTCCATCCGTTACTCTCATCTCTGGACTGTATTCGCACTTTCCATCAGGCGCGGTGCAGTCATTTTGCCGAGTCACAATAAAAATAAAAAAAAAATAAAAATAAAAAAGTAGTAAAATTTTTCGTCGTTGGGGACTGGCTAAGGCATGCCAAATCTTAGATTGTAATTTTTTTTCAATAGTTTTGTATTCTGATATTTTTTCGCGGGAAATCGTTATGTGTTTACAGTGGCCATATTGAAAGTCCGCAGAATGCTTAGTCGAAATCAAACGATAATCGAAGTCATTCTTTTTTCATATTAAACTTTCTATTGTGGTCCGTTGTGTCTCATATGAACATTGTTATCGTAATTCAACCTTTGTTTAGTGTTGAGGATGCTACCGAACTTGAAAAAAAACCTATATTATCTATGTAAACTACACATGCATATAATTCTTTTTCCTTCTAATTTTTTGTATTAATATAAAAATACGTGTTTTCAATTATTTTTTGTGGCGGTAGGCGTTGAAATTGTTTTATTTTACCTAAGTGGGTGGTAAGCCAAAAAGTTTGAGAACCATGTCCTCTAAAATTATATCCACGAGTGTAGTTTTTGCTTAAATGTAGTCTTTGATAATTGTGAAGACTTTCTTTACACCGTGATATTTGTATATTTTTTTGTGAAATTATTCCACTAGTTTTGTTGTCTAAACTGCACTAGTAACTGATGTCGTTTATTGCGTCGAAAACCGAAAAAACTCAATACCAAGATGTATAACAGACACATAGAAGAATTTTCGCCGACTTGTTGTGACTCGACCTGTAGCTCATTTGGTAAACAGTAAGGGACGGAATCCCGTGGTCGTAGTTTCGAGTCGTGCCGGGTCGATTTTTCTTTGTGTTCAATCTTTGCATTAATAATTGTGAGTTTTTCTTTAATTTTTTTTTATAGAGCTATCCGCATGGCGTATTCAGGCGTTTAGACCACCTAAAAAAACTTAACATTTCACAGACGTCATCAGAACTACAAAAAGCAACACTTGCCTACGACAAAGCGAACAGCGCGCATGCAGCTGCCAGGGAGATGGTGTACCTTGCGGAGCAGGGACTCGCCAGATTGGCCGAGGGGTCGGAGGGAGGTCTTACCCTGGATCCTGCCTGGCAAGAGATGCTCAATCATGCTACACAGAGGGTTAACCAGGTAACCACGAAAATAAGTGTCCTTATGCTACAATAGCTTTTCTTTATGTGACATAAGCAGTTTCAACTTATCTGCCCGCCTTATCATTACCATGAACTTATAACTCAAGGTGACTGCTCAGTGCAGACAGCGCAGCGTTAGAGCTCCTTGTGAAAGAGTTCGTCCAGGGAAGTACTGCCACATTACCTATTTCTGCCGCCAAGCAGTAATATGAGCATTATTGCGTTCCGGTTTCGAAGGGTAAGGGTGCTGGTGACATCACAGGCACATGGAACTTGCCAATTTATGTCTCTGGGTGTCGGGCGCAGCGGCAGTGCCCTTCAGACAAAGATCCGAATCTCTGGAGATCTGGTTTAAAGCTCTGAGTGGCACTGCAACTGGTAGGAACAGGCGTGTCGCTTACCACCAGGCGAACTTTTGACAGCTCAACTACTAATTAATTAGTGATGTCCCAATGTATTACCGCTTCGTTTTGTTATAACAACCGATTTTATTTACAATGAAGTTTTAATCGTAATGTTAATTCACAAACAAACAAATTAATCGATTTAAACATTGTCCTAAACTGAATTTAATTTTTTTTTTAATTTAATTTAATTTTTTTTAAATTAATTGTGCACCTAAGGAACTTTGTACGCACTAAAAGAATTTGAATGTCTGTGACTAAAACCATTACTTCATTGGTTTGCCATTTTTTCCAATATATTTTCATTTTAACTTTGTGTGATAATGAGGCCCATAACGACTAATAAGGCCCAACTTTTTTTTTGTCGGGCCTTGGCCCAACTTTTTTTTTTTTGTCGAGCCTTATTAAACGACACGGGCCTTATAATATATACGATTTGATGTTTTTGCAAATAAAACAAGAATAATTAGAAAAAGAATATTAAAGTTAAATGTTTTATTAACATTACAAAATAGTAAGTAAGGAGAAATCACGATTAAAGTCAAGTGTAACCGTTTTCTTGCCCTTGAAAATTACTGTGGCGAGCGTGAACTATTGATCGCGACGAAGAGCGTGTCTGGTCTGACAATATGGCGGCGTATTTGAGTCGTAGCCGCGTTAATGCGTTCCGATTGGTCCGTTCTAAACGTACACACTGCGTATCACGCTGTTGAAATTAATTTAAATATACTTTTAGGTCCCAGGCCTTATCACGGGGCTTTATTTGCCCAGAGTACCTTATTAGGTATTGAGAAATGGAGTAACATGCTATCTCGGCGGAACAGTAAACCACTACAATTTATTATAATTATTTCAAATGTATTTATTTTCGTTATAATTTAATATTACGTATTTATTGGATTGAGATTCGATTTGATAGGCGGAGGCAGACCGTGCCCACACAGCGGTGACACAAAGAACGAAGGCGGCGGCCCACCGCGCCGCCTCGGCACTAGTGCAACAACTACAGAGCGGCCTGAAAAGGCATATCGCCAAGTCCAGGTAAGTCAGTTTCTTTTTCAAAAATGCTATGCTAGTAGTGCTGAAATTATTATAACCTGTAAAAAGTAGTAGTTTTCCATCTTTGGGCCGTGTTAGTGAATTAAACCTCAACTGTATATTGTAATAATAAGTTTATTGAATATGACGATATTTTACTACTGTAATATTTTTTTTTTACCAAAAAGCGCACAGAAAACTTCGTAAGGGCGCGTTCCTATTATGTCGTAGCGTTTTATTTGTTTATTTGTCGTTGAACGATTATCGCGTCTAGCCTGTTCCCATAACACGACTATAATAATAATAACGCACTCACTCAACATAGACCCGAACTAGGGAAATACTGGGTCGCGGGTGCCTTGGACACTCAAATAGACAACCACAAATTACACCCCAACTAACGAGAGAAATAAATGTAGGCCATACAAATATTTCTCCCGGCCTGGGAATCGCACCTGGGAACTCTGCGTGGCAGTCCGGTAACCGTTCGGCCACGGAGGCAGTTGTCGGAGACTATTTGTCGGGACTGTGTCGTGGACGTTTATTTTATCTTTGAACGACTGTCGTGTCTAGCTGTTCCTACTACACCGTAACGACAATTTATCGGTATTTATTTATTTCACAAAAAAATAATTGACTATCACGGTGGCCAAACATCGTGACATACAATAAACTTAAAAAACCTACGGTTATTATGGCGACATCTCTAGTCAGTTGCTGGTAGCTTTAAAGGTATCTGGTTGAGTGAAGAAAAGCTTACATAGATTTCTCACAGATGGCGCGATGATAAAAAGTCATTAAAAGCCTAACACGAAGATTGCAACTAGCACATAGAAGAATTCGTAAGGTCCGCTAGTTCGTTCCGTTGCTTAGTTGGCATTGCGTCTGGCATGGTTTGCTGTTAGACGTTGGTTCGAATTCAGCCCGATCGAAGGATTTTTTCTAAGTATTCGATCTTTGCATTAATAATTATTTGTTTATTAACTAATTCAAAATCTTAAGATCGGTCTGTTAACATTTTCAAATGATATTGACTTCTTACGTTTTCGAGATTGCTAGACATTGGAAATGAAACTATTTCTGTACACCTATATTTCTATTATTTTTCAAACAAACCATCGTTTCGGGCGCTTTACAGGTCCCAGGGTCACGACTGACGTCAGTCAATAGTTTCATTTTCAAATCAGTTTGTTAATACGGCCTGTACACTAGTGTCGATTAGACATACAGTTTTATGACTGAATTAATTAACATTACATAAATAAAATTCACATTGCACATTTGAAGAATAATCTTTAAATTTGTTTTAAGAATGCCTTATATAAGGCATTCGTACTTATGAATAAGTTTTGAGAAAAATTGGTCACATTTTACAATACAAGCTGAAATTAGTCTGTAATTTGTTTTAACACCATAATTGTGTTGGTATAATTTAAATATAAATTTAATCATGTAAATATATAATCATCTAAATAAATAAGTAAAAAAAAGCATCTGGTTAAGTTTCGTGCTGCTCTATTTGAAACTTGTTGTATGGTTGTATGGACTCAGTCTCCTTTGCCTTTCCCTAGAGAGATAAAACTACAAAAATTTAGTTGTGTGTCCTTCAAAATATATAAATGTGACCACACACCATCGGGTCAACTGTGATCTCACACTCATAAGTCTCATTGCTCACACTAATTTAGGAAATGTACTTTTCTAAATTGGTTCTTCTCTGGGTGTTCTGGATAGTGCCCCGGAGTGAATTCCGTTACTCATTTACTCCAAGGGATTCTCTAGTTTGAGATCAGGCAATTGGGTTGGTTATCATTGGACACATTGGACACATTATTATTAATAACCATAGGTCGGAAAAAGGTGTTCAAGATATATAGATACGTGTATATACATAGCAAGGAGCGACATAGAGTTGTTAAAATCACCAGATATTACTTAATTATTTTTTCGAATTCCGGATTTCCGGAAATGGTTTTACTGCATCGTAGGACAAACTACTGACCTAAGATGTCGAAGTAGGATTCTAAAATTAATCTAATGGTGCCATGATAACTGACAGCCTTGTTGCCGTTCCGTCAATATGACTGTCAATATTATATGCGGGGCGCAGTATCTAAAGCCAGTGAGGGGCGGAGAGTGACCGTTATCGTTAATTTTTTATTTTCTGCTTCGGTAAAATGTCAGTTATCCACTGCATTTTTTTACATGGCAAAAACAAAAAGATAAACTTTTACCAAAAATGTGACCCATTTTGTCTCTGAATCCTTCATATCGTCTTTCTCCCTTCAAACTGTTTCATTTTAATATCAACATTTGAATAAGACTTATTATCTTACTTAGCTTTTTAAAAGCGAAGATGCCTTATCAATCGCCGTACGTCTCCCTTGTTTAAACATGAATATAAGTAATTGCTTGAACGACTTTGACACGAGTTACTGCTCAAAAAGTGAAGTGTTAAACTGAACATGACGCTGGTATATAGTATAACAATAGTATGCAACTCCCGCCTGTTCGGCGCGCGGCCTACATGTTACTCAGAGCGTAGGGTTGTCACATTATTATTTTAATTGTACCTACAGGTTGCAAAACATAATTTGAACAAATAAAGATATTCATCACAATACTCTAATAACTTTTATCAAATGCAGTACTTACCAGAAGCGGCAGAAGAGTAATTTCTATTGACTATTTTCAATTCAAAAATAACACAGTCCACTATTTATGACGCATTCGTTATTTATTCTTTTTTTAAAATTAGTGACACTCTTTTCTTTATTACGTTTCGCTTTGAATGGATAAAATGGCGGAAGAAAAAAGCAAAGTGTTTACAAATGAACAACAACATTTTTAACAGAGACTGTCCGTTTCTAACAAATATAATAAGCGCATTTTCTATTTCTACGTACATTTCCTACTGAAAAAAAGGAGCCATTTTCATCTTTTATTTCTTACTTTGGCAGCCGCCACTCGTACATATATTATTAATATTTTTATACCGGCATCGCGGATTTGTATCTCGATTATCGTACAGGCCTATCGCTTAACTGAGTCGGTTCCTTAGGTAGCTGCGGGGTGCGGGATGAGTGACAGTTTACGTAACAGTTACGTCGCTCTGCATACGGTATAATTTCAACAAGATATTTCTGAGGATATTCAATAACAAGTTGATTGAAAATAAACTCAAATTGCCTATCCTCTTTGTGGCGGCCATATTTATAGAAACATAATGAAACTATAATGAGTTTAAAAAAAGGAACGTCGTATTTTTGCTAATTAAAATATCAAACATGACGCTACTCAAACACTCTACTGCCTCCTGATTAGTTAAATTGGCCTAAAGATCTTGCAACTAGGCCATAAACCTTTATTTAAAAAATTATTGGCTAAAATCTGTATTTCTTTGGATTTTTGTTATGTAACGTTTGTTTGGCTTTCGTCTAAATATACGAAGAGGCTGTATGGAACATTTGCCTACCCAAATAAATGGGTGAAAGCTTATTTTAAAAAATTGCGTTTGTTGTCATGGATTGTTAGCAAAATATACATTAAATAATGCTTGTGTTTCATTATTTTATTTACTCGTAAAATATTGTATGCAATCATTACATAATTAGGTTTTAAAACCTCGTATCTATTATTTAGGCCACTCAACACGGAGCGGAGCTTTGCGGAGTACCGTGTTTGCAACGATTGCATAAAATACTATTTTTCACCACCGAGCGAACTCTTTCATTCTATAGACGAATGGCGCGTGTGACGACCTACGCTGTGCAACGCGGGTGCAAGCGAGATAACACGAATGCACGCGAGATAACGCGAATGCACGCGAGAAAACGCGAATGCACGCGAGAAAACGCGAATGCACGCGAGAAAACGCGAATGTGTGCGTCCTTACACGGCGCGCACACAAAGACAGCGCTCTGATTTTTGTATACAGTTACACTACTTGTATTATTATACTATGCTAGTGACAACAGTTAGACAGGAGAAAGACAATATGTATTTACTTACATACTCTGTAGTTTGTATTGTGCATTTTTCTGCTTGATTAGTATGCCCTTGCATTTCCTTTCACAGGCCTCACGCAGCCAGCTGAACGTCCTTTCTCACTCTTGGTACATTTTAATTTATTTTACAAAGTTTTTAACCACTCGTCTGACAAGTTATATTTGAATCGTCTAAGTTATGGAAGAAAAAATTTTGATTAATAATAAAATTGGGACCTGTAAAGGGCCCGAAACGTCGGTTTGTTTGAAAAAACAAATATACGCGATTTAAATCCGGAAAAATAGTTTCATTCCTATAATAATAAAATTACTATTTAAAAGCAAACTAGAGATCAAGAAGGGCGGGCAGCTACCTTGCTCAATGTATTTACATAGCTGTGCAAATAGGGAAGACTGCCAGTATTTCATGCACCCTATCACGTGGTAAATAATCTTTATAATTAAATTAGACTAGCGCAACCATTTCAGGGTTCAAAATTGACTTGTCTGCTTTTACTAAATAGTATTATTACCTGCATGCATGAATAGTAATACTTGCCTGTTTTTAATATAACAACGACATCTATTCGGATGTCGATTTATCTGCGTCCCAGTTTAATCTATTTTATGTGATACTCCCTACTACTTTAGCTTTTATGGTGGGCTTTGTGGGGCATGTTTGCCACCGTTGTGAAAGAATTTGCCAATCGACGTAAGGTTGTCCCTGAGTGTTGCCCAGGGTGTTGATAGGCGCACAGGAAATGTGAATGGCAAGTCTTACGGGGGCATGTCGTCGAGGCTCTTTTCTCCAATACAAGGAGGTCGACGGTTTGAGCCCCTGTAGCAACCTCTTGCTAATGGTAAAGGGAAATAAATAAATAAATAACGCAAACACTAATACCCCCGCACTAGGGACACCCTGTATTGCGGGTGCCATGGACACACATAGAAACCACTAAAGACACCCAAACTCGGGAGAGGAATAAATCTAGGTTCATACAAATTTTTCTCCCGGCCTGGGAATCGAACCCGGGACCTCTGCGTGGCAGACCAGCATGGTAGCCGTTCAGCCACGCAGGCAGTTTATTGCTGGTGAACTTCTTTTATGTATGATAATACTTGTGCCAGAATCTGCTTCCAATTGTGTAAAAGTTTTGTGAAAACAAATTGTGTGAAGTGTGCTTCCAATTCGGGACAGTTGTTACTTAGATTAAGTGCTGATCTTATTTTTGTAATTGCACCCAAACTCACAAGACAAATAAATGTAGTCCATACAAATGTTTCTCCCGGGAATCGAATCTGGGACCTCTGCGTGGTAGTCCAGCATAGTAATCGTAGTGGTAGTTCGGCCACGGAGGAAGTTAAAGAGAAATATCGTGATGAAACCTTCGCGTCGAACCCGCATTGGGCCAACATGGCGGACTGTAGCCAAAACCTTAAAGAGGCGACCCGTGGCAGGAGTAGGACATATAATGGATTTTCTCTCTTTTTCTTCTCTTTCTCTCTTTGGTTACTATCGACAATACCTCATAGACTAACAATCTATTGATACACTGTTCTCGTACATTGCCTTCCAGACCGTACTTTGAAGAGAAAGCCCGTATAAACACAGCACTCGAAGCCCAAAAAGCTCGGATACAGACATTGGAAGAGCAAGTATGCGAAGCGAAGCAACAGTATTCATCCGCGTTACGGAATCTCGAGCGGATTTCAGACGAAATCCATCGACATCGATCGAGGAGAATGTCTGAGAAACATATTAATAATGGAGGTAAGTTTATCTATATCATAGGCTCCACGTCAGACGATTCAAGCAAAGATTGCGAGGAGGTTTGAAAAATAGAAGTTATTGGAAAATAAATGTAGGTCTTGGATATGTAACGATATTAGAGAGACAAATCATTATCAGTTGTACCATCGTTGGCACTGGCTGTAATTGGAACAAACCTTACCGATTCAGACAGCGATTCGCGAGTGGCATTTGAGTAGTAGAGTGTGTGTGTTTGATAAATAATTTTTAGTGAATTTTTAATCATTCCTGATTTTACGGACTATCGCAGAATAATTGCTAACGATTTTATTTCCAACGATGCTACAATTCTTAATTCGGTGGTATTGATTACCTTACCGGCTTAGTTTTACCGATTAAACCACTGTTGCTACTCATTATAAGTAAGCACAATCCATAATACTAAATAGCAATATTTTTCTCTCTGTTCCCTAGATATAGATCAATCAACAGTAACAGATACGAGCGATACAAACACGACGACTAGCGACAAACTTGAGGAACTGTGTTCTCACAGCGCAGACGATAGTGTCCGGGAGTGGTTGCGACGAACGGCCGACGCGCAAAGGCCACAGCGGCTCACTGACGCGGATACATGGACGGAGATCGACTTGGAATACTCTAGCCCTGAAGAAGTAAGTATTTATACATATTAAGAAATTAGGGTTCTAGTATACTACCTTGTAGAACACTTCATGAAGAAAATAAGTATATGGACCTAGCATGCAGCCTTGTGGAACACTTTGTTCCCAAATCCATGTACGAATGGCTGTGACCCCCAGCCGTTATGATTTTCTAATTAAAAGATATGACTACTCTTCGTATAATAAAGATCCACATTCCGACCATATTATATTTGGTTTTGCTTACTTGTGGTTTCTTATTAATTTTCTCAGTGTAGTTCTTAACATTGTTAATGCTACATTTCATTCATAAATCACAGGTAAGCTTCGAAAAGTGTTCCCTGCGGCCGCGCTCTACCCCCGAAAAACTATCACCAACAAGCCCAATGGAGTCGAAGGTGTCCGCAGCCAGCCCTCGTCGTATCATCAGAACGGTGGATCGCAACGCTGCGCTCAGAGCCGAGCTGGAAAAGGGCCGAAGACAGAGCTTAGATGCCTTGTTACATGATACTGGGGAAAAGATGAAGGAAATGTTTCAAGGTAAGCTTCTGACAAGGGTGCTATTGTGTCGACTAGTCAAAAGTTTTGTTTTAGTAATTGGAATGTCTTAGGCGGCAAAGGGACTTAAAGTTGTTAACAACCCACATTTAATCAATACATATTACAAACTGAAAAGAGCTAGGCTGAAGATGGAAGTTTTGAAAGGGAATCCAATTGCTAAAAAGCTTAGATTGTCACCTTGTAGTGCACCTTTACTTAAAATTGAAAATCGTGCATGCTATTCTAACTGAAATACGAGAATAGTTATAGCCTCTGGAGACTTATTTAGGGATTTCGCTTTGTTGGCGGAAAAGAGACATTTTTATATAATATACACATTTGTACAGGTGTACATTTAAAAAAAAAATTAATGATACATCTTTCACGTGAATTATTGCGTCGCGTGAAGGTAAATGCAGTGTTAAATTGATTTGGAGGTTTGTCCCTGTTCGGCGAGCGGCGCGGTTCGGAGTCGGCCCCCCGCACGCCGCGGCGCGCGCACTCCCCCCGCGCCCTGCGGCGCTCGCCCGCCGGCGAGGGCTCCTCCGCCTCGGACGAGCGCTACTCCGACACCGACAGCCTCGCCAGGTACGTCCGGCTGGTCAGGACTGATTCATTCAGAAAACAAAATTATTTAAGCGTTGTGAAAATCGGAATCTCAATGCTTTTAGCAGCGATGCGAAACGCGCGACTGCATCAATACAGTCGCTTATGTTGATAATTATATACGAAGTCTGTATAGGTTTATGCACATTATTTTGTTTTGTTAATTGTAAATTTAAAAGTGAAATTAATAAATACGTTAAATAAGTAAATTAGTTCATTAATTTAAAACGTGCATCGCGTCTGCATCGCGATTGCATCGCTGCTTAAAATCGAACGCGTATGTAAAGGTAGACGATTAACGACTGCATCGCGTTTGCATCGCTGCCGCATCGACGCCGTGTGTAACCGCTCTAAGGGGCACTTTCAATTGTTTTTCAGGCGAATATCAGTTTCAATCTAAAGTGCACTTTAATTGCGTTACAATGAGGTTGATTTGTATTATCAACTGACTCTGTACTCCCGTTCTCCGTCCGACATCCGTCCCCAACAAATAAGTAATACTCCACCAAATGTAAGACGCATGATGTGAATGAAGATTTATACTGGACATTGTTTTTGAATTTAGTCGAGTATTACTTACAGTTTAGATTCTTTAGAACATATAAAACTCTAACATCTGCTTGACGCCTTTAAAATTTTTCAGCATGGAAATGTTAACGGACGAGCAAATAGCCTCTCTAATGCTGGACGCGCAACTCGAAGCAGTCTGCGAGCGACTCGCAGGTGTAGCGCGCCAGCCTGCGCCTGCGCAGTCGCCCGAAGCCAGATTCTGAGGTACCCATGTCAACCGATGAAACTCCTCTTAGGACCGACGATATATCACGTTATTTGTAGACAATCGCAGGAGTAGTGCACCAGCCAGCGCCTGCGTAAGGTTTTGCAACGTCAGTACGACGTATGTAACGTACTGGTTACGTCACTTCGAGTGCGTTGTAGAAGGACATGCATGTCGCTCGGAATGAGTCACGTCGTATAAAGACATGCGAAGGAAGTAAAGAGTAATTACGATAAACAAGCAGTATACTTGTCATTGATTAGAGCATTTGTCACATGAACGATATTTTTGTCACAAATTGTTATACCGAAGACGTAAATCTTGATGACACAAGTCACGTACGTTTTAAGGACATTAGTTGATATAACTAAAAATACGATGTGAAAAATGTAACATTAATAATTTCATAAAAGCAAATTTCATGAAAACTTTACCATTCTTGTTTGCCATTGGAGCAGAATCGAAAATAGATTCGGGTTCCGCAACAAATATTGCGGAAGCTTAAAGAACATTTATTTGTGTCACACCCCGAATTTTGACATCAAAAGACCATATTGTCATAATGTCAAGGTGGCGTAGTAACTAATCAACAGAGATCAAAAAAGCATTTACTTAAACTTCAAGTAATCGAGTGAATAATATCTCCCTCTGAAAATCCAGAATTAATATATATTATTCCGATCACCGCTAACCAATTCTAAAGTGTGTAGTTACACGGGCTCCCTTTGAGCTGCATTGCCACTGTAATGGCAGGTTCGTCAACTGCATCCAAACGTGTGACTACACTTTCAAGTAACAAATAGATGTCACAGGTGTCACAGCGATAAAATCCGAAAAAAACCCTGTACAAAAATTTGCAATAAACATTTTTTTATATTTATTTATGTATGTGTATGTATAGTGTTGTTATATATTGTGATTATAATAATGCTTATGTAAGTAATGATAATTTTTTTTTTATTTATGTAGTTTATTATATTTCTTTCTCATTCTTTCTTGCACGCTGTAGCCCGCTAATAACCTTAGCTCTCACTGACCTGGGTTAGCTGGAAGAGATCTATTTTAGAGATAACTCCACCTTTGCTCACCTTCTGTTATACTAATATTTCTGTTGCATTAATTTAGTGCAATAAAGAATATATATATGTTCTACAAAACCCCGCTATCAAATATCAAATTTTAGGATCCCCACCAGAAGGGATTTTTTTTTTAGTGAGGATTTGTGGAACACACCTATCTGTAGCTCAGTTGGTAGGGCTCTAGCCCTGGTTTGGTACAGATTTGTGTTAATAATTATAACTTGTTGAGTAATTTCACAAAAGAGTTACAAAAACATCATGATAGTCAATAAAAATCAATATAACAAAAATATGTTTTATTAAAAGTGTTTTCATGATTTCTGCTCATTGTAGCTATAGTATTTTCTCACGTTAAAACAATAAAAAAAACCTATAACATTGCTTTATCAGGTAACATATCAAAAGTCTCGCAATTTAAAATACTCGTATTTTTGGACGCTAGATGATAAATTTAATAAGTGAGTCAATGATATTAGAGAAGGCAATACAAGTCGATATCAGTGCATTTTCAAAAACGAAAATACGAATTTGATTTATGGCTGTTTTTTTCTTGCATTACAATAAGGGTGCGTTCCCATTATACCGCGACGACAGATAGTCGTGAAGTTTACAGTGTCGTGGCTTGTATATTTAAATGAAGTTATTCACATATAGTACAACACGATGAATATCGTTCACAACTTTTTTGACATTGCGACGACAGACTGTCGTGAATATGAGAAGAGCTAGACACGACTGTCGTTCAACGATAAAATAAACATCCACAACACTGTCACGACAGACAGTCGTGATATGGGAACAGACTAGACGCGACAGTCGTCTAACGATAAATAAAACGTTACGACATGATGGGAACGCGCCCTAAACTTTTATACCCTAAATCTCATTCTCAAATAATAGTAAAATAATACACATTTGAAAATATCGATCAGTGAAAACTTGGCGCTTAGTAGCTAGAGCTTTTGTCCATGATTTAACGTGTCGTCCATTAGTACACCGCATCTTTTTCAAACGTAATAAAAAAAATACTTGTTAACGCAAGCGGTGGTGGTAGAGGAAACGATGAATTAGGTAACTAACTATGATGGCGCCATTTTGACAATTACCAACACAAGCAAATTACATAATTTGTCTCGGCAATCTTCGGATTCCGAATGCATCCGAATACAAATTTACATGTCTATATAATTATTAGGTTTATGATCTGTAATAATTTGAATTCAGAATTACATACTTTATTGTTTTTCCACATCAACTATATAGAGCGCAATCACAGAAATGTAAACAATATTTAGATTTCTGTGTGCGTCATACTATTTTCCATACTATAGTAAAATTACTCCTTAACAATATACCAAACAAGTTCACAAAAATATAAAGCACTAATTATTAATTTTTAATTTTCAATACATATAATCTGACCTTAAAAAACCAAAATAAAGAGAAGTGGCACTGTATATACTTTCAAGTCAATTAAATGCGCCCAATCTGCATAGAAATCCGACTACAAACGAAGATTGCCGAGGATGTGTTATGGAAATAATTGTACTGTATATTGCATCGAGTGTATAATCAGAAATAGAGACGAAATGTCATTTAATTTGTTTGAAAACTTTTCTGCCACGTCATTACTGTGAGAACTGCGCTCCAATTGGCCAGCCCGAATTCGAAACAATTGACGGATGTCGTCAATGATTTCACTTCAAATCGTCCAGTTTAACTTGAGCTTTGCTATAATGGACGAAAATTGCAAAATTACATATTTAATTGTCGATGAAATGTGATTCCGTTTGTTTTGTAATTAGATTTTTTGCTGTTTTTCCCACACCACTCAATAGAGCAGCCTCCATAGTTAGAGATATTATCTTTATTACAATAAATACAGAATATTTTTGGAATATACGGAGACGTACAAACAGGTCAGTTGTTGGCGCTGTACTATTTCAGTTTCTAATTTGTGATTTCAGCGCAAACGAGAGTTGATATTTAAAAGTGATATAAGACCCATTTACCTGATGAGTTGCCGGGGATGGATGGACCTTATTTCGTCTCTATTTCTGGTTGTATACTCGATGGTATTTTAAAAGTTTCTTAATGAAATTTAAATTTAAGAATCCTATTTATTGGCGCCTTGTTGGATCATTTAATTAACACATTTCATTGAGTGCTTTATGGAGTAGACACACGAGTTGTATTTCAACTGCACCGCAATTGCAAAATAGCATTTCAAAAACGGACAAAGTGACTACGCTTAATTATAAAACATTCCGATGCACTATAAAGTCTTGATTTCTCAAAATAATTAACTGATTGCAATAAATAAAGTACACAATAAACAATAATAATTGTTATGATAATAAATAAAAATATTACTTATTGATCATGTAAGTGTTGTGCATAATTACGCCCTCTTGCCTAATATACTTGCCTAACAATAAAACTAGAAAAATAAAAATAATATTAATAATAACTAATCTCAGTGCAGAGTATTAAAAAACCGACCTCAAAAGTACGTGGAATTATATCTATTTGCCAAGTTTTATTAAAATCGACAATTGGAAAGTGCGCGAAACCGGATTCGTTCCCTAGTTTGCCACACTTGGAGGTGGAATAATATTCAAATTTAAATGGGACCAATGAGACCCTCTTTCTAACAAAAAAAGAATCATCGAAATTGGTTCACAAATGGCCGGAGTTATTGCGTAACATACAAAAAAAATACTGTCTGAGAACCTCCTCCTTTTTTGAAGTCGGTTAATTAACCAAAACAAAATTTTAAAAATTATGATTAACATTTTGGATTATAGTTGTTTAAAAAAAGCGTGATCCCAGCTTCGATTACCTGTGGTACCAATTTTAGACAAATGGTTAAAACTGTCCAAAATTGTTGCAAAAATGTTATTGTCATCAATTGCAGATATTATTTGTATTTTTCTAGAAAAAAGTACATAACTTGTAAAATGATGTATGTAGTAATATTTACAAAACATTGTAGCGTTTAAATTAGTAAGATATTCACAGTAATAAATAAAAAAATATATTTTATCAATATCGAGTTCTTAGGTTTTCACGATTGTTACACATAGGAAATGAAACTATTTTTCCGGATTTACATCGCGTATATTCGTTTTTTGTCAAACAAACCGACGTTTCGGGCCCTTTACAGAAAAATAGTTTCATTTCCTATTTTATCAATGCTAAGCAATACGCTATATGAAACAAAATACTATATAGATGTAACTTATTTCAATATGAACAGTATTATTTTTATTTAAGCTTATTTATTAAACAAATACATTTTAAAAGTCAATTTTAACTCGTGTAAGTACACAATTTAAATGTCAAAATTTTATTTAACTTGTTAGTTAAAACTTTTTTCCTGTATGTATTTTTATTTTCTATACATGCAGGATGTTGTAAAAAGGAACTATATTCCGTACACAATTAAAACTGTTCATATACAGGGTGATTACGAAAGGCATACAAACTTCTTAGGATTAGACTGCAAGATCCGATATTTCGTACTAAATACTATTTCAAAAAGGGAAAGACCTTATTAGAAGTATTCATGGGAATAATTTGGATACTGTAAAGTTATTGCTTAATAACTTGTCAACCAACATGATCTTAAAGATTTTGTTTGTTGTTTGTGATATTTACTTGTAAAATGAAAACTTTTACTGTTGTGTTTGTTGTTGTTAGGGAATTATAGTAATAAATCACAATAAAAATGTAAAAGTGGGTGACGAAATATTTTCATAGATTTCTTATAGATGGCGCTACGGCTAAAAACGCCTTAAAAACCAGATACAAAGATCCGACAACAAGCACATAGAAAAATTCATGACGTCCGCTGGTTCGTTCCGTGTCTTAGTTGGCATAGCGTCACGGTTTGCTAGAAGACGTCGTCGGTTCGAATCCGGCCGGATCGAAGGAATTTTTTCTAAGTGTTCAATCTTTGTATTAATAATTATAACATACTAGTGGAGCAATTTCACAAAAAATGATTGAATACCATGGTGGTGAATAATCCTGACATTCAATAAAACACTCGATGATCATCACAATAGTTGATCATTCCTGAAGTGACACCGGCAAAAGTTTTCATTTTAAGTATAAGTAAATTTTAGAACAAAGTATCAAATGCAAGTAAAAAAATCTTTAGGTGCCATTTTCGCAAAGCTGTAATATGTTGGTTGACACGTTATTGTATATCAACATCCAATTATTTTTTGACGATCTCGGCCAGTTAATTGCTACTTTAGATGTCTAATTCCGATTTTTTTTTAAATTTAAACCTTACTATTTTACCGCACGTGGAGCATACTGTCGTAACTAAAAAATGATGAAATTGAGAAAATAAAATTTCAAAGTTCAAACAAATTACTGGGGGATCTTATTGCGAATTACTTTTATTTATGCATAATGTTTAGTTATCCACTTATAAACGAGAATATAAATCGTTTGATCCCATTCAGTAATTTTTTGAATCGTGTTTATTCAACTCCACCATTTTGAGTTACGACAGTATTTTGTTTCATCTGCGCTATTTTTTTTTGTTCCGCTAATTGTGCCGGTATGTGTACGGTCACTATATCAGGAGTCCAAAATTAACCTGTTGGCCATTACTCAAATTCCCATATCCAGTATTATATTTATTTTAAATTTA